TAAAACCTTGGAATTTCCTAAGTGATAAGAGTGTCTTTTGTAACTCATAATGAGCACCTTGAGCACAACTAAATTTAGGCTGGGAGGTGACTTAGGATGGTTGGCCCTTGGGTAGCCTTAGGATGGGACTGGTCACCAGAAAGTCCAAGAGAGATTAGAGGGTTGGAGCTTTTAGTCCCTACCCATCAACCTCTGGGAAAGTGTGTGTGTGTGTGTGTGTGTGTGTGTATGTGTGGTGAGGGGCTGGGCTGGAGATTAAACTCTATAGAAGCTCTTAAACAGTAAGATTTGGTGAGCTTCTGGGTAGCTGAACACATGGAGGTGCAGGCAGTGCATTCCCTCCTCCCATACCTTGCTTTGTTTAATGTTACTGTTCATCTATATCCTTTGTGTTTTTATTTTATCTGTCTATGTTGTTATTTATTTAATTTTGTGGTGCTGGAGATCAAACCCAAGTTTCAGCCAGGGCAGGCATATATATAGCTCTGCCTCTGAGTTATATCCCCCACCTCTCATCTGTATCCTTTGTAGTAAACTGATAAACATGTTTCCTTGAGTTCTGAGAACCATCCTAGTAAATTCATCATAGGCAAGGAGAAATTAGAGAGAACCTTTGATTTATAATCACTTGATCAAAAATCAAGGAGAGTAATAGTGCTGGTGGAGTGGCCCAAATGGTAGAGCACTGCTTAGCAAGCATGAGGTTCTGGGGTCAGTCCTCAGCACTGCCAAAAAAAAAAATGTAGGCGATAGTTTACTACTTGTGATTGGTCTTTGCTGTGTGGGCAGTCTGTGGGTTGTGACTAATGTCACGTAGTTGCATCAGAATTGAGTGGCATTTCAGTTGTGTCCACTGCTTGGTGAGAAAAGAAACTCCACACATCTGATCACAGAAGTCTTCTGTGTAGTGTGAGTTTTTTTCTTTTACAAGAAACATTATCAAACATTTTTAAAACAGATTTATTTTTCCAAAGGAAATTGTAGGTAGCAAATTTCTGATAGAAAAAAGCAGTGTGTATGGTTAAGATAGAGGTGGAAGGCCAGTTGTTTTTGGAACAACTAGTCCAATTCCTTTATTTTCTGGAAAGACTCTGTAGGTACATTTTCCACCAATTCCTGTATAAGCTTTGTGAAAGTAACAGTTTTGTCTGTTCTTGTTCATTGCTGTGTATTCAGGGCTGGAAACAGTACCAGGAAGTTACAGGTACTCACTAAACATTTGTTAAATGAAGTCGAACTCACTTCCCCTAATTCCAGGTCCAGATCTCTATTAACAGACTTCTTTTTAGAAACTTTGACACTATTGGTGAGAATGGAGAGGCAGAAACTGAGCCTTTATAATCACCCTTACTGGTTTTCTCACTTGAACTGCTAACATGCCTTCGCCCCAACTTATTGGAGATATGGTTCGACTTCATTGAGTCTGTGAAATCTTTTCTGTTACACTTCTTTCCTTAGAGTTACAGTTCAACACTGCAGGTTTTCATTGAGTGGTATATGGACTTTTAGAGTTATTTATATTTTCATATGTATTATTAGTAGAATATTTTTCATCTTTTACTCTGTCTTTTGAGATTTCCACCAAAGCTGAGTCATCAAACAAGGGAGGGTTGAATGAAATAATGGTCTGGTAATGATGAAGTCTCCATTGACTTTCACTGAAAAGAGTTTTTTTTTTTTGGACAGCATTGGGGTTGGAACTCAGGGTTTCACACGTGCTGGGCAGTTCTAACACTTGAACCACTCTACCAAGCTCTTTTTGTGTTGAGCATTTTCAAGATAGGGTCTCAAGAACTAACTCAATAACTTTAGTTATTTTTTGGAGTGAGGGGGGGGTATCACCTTTTTGCCTAGGGCCCTGTCCTTGAACCGCCATTCTCCTACCTATGCCTCTTGTGTAGGTGGGATTACAGTTGTGCACGACCACACCCACCTTTGAAAATGGTCTTTTAAAAAGTTTTTTTTTTTTGGACAGTTAGGTGAGGTTACATAGGCAGGAGGATTTGGGACTTTGAGGCCAGCCTTGGTTGCATAGTGAGACCCTGTTTAAAAAACAAAAAGCCAAACCAAAACAAACACCCCTTCCCAGCATAGAAAGATTTTGGGGGATAGAAGTAACAACAGTACACCACTGGTGTTTCATTTCATTTTTAGGAAGCAAATAGTGCACATTTTAAAATAAAAATGTGCTTCTTCTTTCCATACGCCCTTTCCAAGAAGGTACTAACTACTGGCAGTTTTATCATTTAATTGTCAACAATACAAGAGAGATGAGAGTCTGAAGTTACTAGAATTCATAAGGAAAGGTGTAAGCAAACATTCCATTCACTCACAGCAATCCTATCTGGTTCATCAGTTATGGGAAACCTTTCAACTTTGGGAATACATGAAAAATTTAAAATGACACAGGTCTCCCCAGTGTGTCTGAAGTAGGTCCCTTTTGATCATAGCAGCATCGTTGTCTCAGGTTTCTAGTCTGCATTTGTAGCTCCCCAGAAGCATCAGGTTTTCTCATGAAGATATTGCCATGGTATTAGTATAGCTGTCTGCATGTATAATTTCTTTCCTTCTAAGCTGATATATAGATGTCTCAAGGATCTTAATTTTTTTTTGCTCTATTTTTTATTATATCTATTGCTTTAGTTATTGGCAGTGTCTTTTCACACCCTCCTCCTCAAGTTTCCGAGATTATAGCTGTAATAGTTTTTGTAAGCCTCAGTCATTGTCACTAATAGTATTTCAGCTAACTTCCTCTTTCTAATTCATACATAAACCCCAAAGTATTTAATGCTAAAGACATTGAAGTGGAACAGGTTTTGAGTCAGTTCTCAGTGGACATTCCTAGAACTTAAGCACTCTTACATTCAGCACTAAAGTGTGTTACAGAGAAGATGGAGTCCTCTTCAGCCTGGAGAAGGCACCATATGCATTAAGCTAAGCATACTCAGAATTATCCACAAGGTAGGCTTTGATTCAACCCAAGTTTTTTAACCTCTCTGAGAGCTCTGAGCATCAAGGTATTATCATTCCTTGTAGAGTTGTTGAGAGAATTGTATTCAGTGAAGTACTTTTTTGTTGATGGTACTGGGATTTGAACTCAGGGCAGTGAAAGCAAGGCATTATTTTTAAAGTACCTGGTCTTCATAGATACTTGGCAGCCAGAGTCTCCTTCATTTCATTTCCTTCAGAACACCAGCTTTGAATGGCAGAGACTATGTAGCTTTTCCTCATCATATTCCCAGTAGCTGCATGCAATAGGTACTCATTTGAGTAAGTGAACTTGGCATCACATTTTGTTATTGCTTTTGAAGACTGGCCAGTACCAGGACTTTACCCTCTTATTTATTTAAGGCTCAGTCACTATTTTGGTCTTTATTTTCTACCACTTTTCAGCCCTCCTTCCACAAACCCATTCTTGGAAGTTTTCTGTAATAGGCCATCTATCTCAGCCAGCCAGCTTGCAGTGTTGTAGGGTCACTTGGTCTCTGATTAGAAGATTTCCAAATTCTTTGTGTCCAGCCCGGAGGCATCCAAGCAAGTCATGTGTTTGTAGGAAGGGAGGTAATATAGTTTATTAAAGGGAAAGGGAAAGCATTACAAAAGCACTGGTGGCACCATCTGGCCAGTTGGGCCAGGTATGGTGGAAGCAGGGAAAAGGTAGCAGAGAGAGTACTCTGCCTCTAGGCTTTTCATTCTAATCTGTGGGAGAGGAAGAACCTGGGCAGTTCCCCAGCGTCTGTAATTGGTGAGTGGGGAGGGATTTGGGCTAGGGTGGTTGACAGTTATTCTGTGCATACACTTAAACTAGCTCTTAGGTATCCTATGCTGTGGAGTGATCAATATTCATGTCTTCATCTGAGAGATAATGGAGGGTGGAATCACCCCAAGACCCCATTGTAGGGAAGAGGTCAAGTGGAGCATCTGCTGTGTCTAAAATGTTGAATAGATTTTTGAATTGTCAGGTAGAAATGCATGAATCAGAAGCAAGGATTTAAAGGATGTGCTTTGAGAGGTGGAGAAGTACATGAGAGAGTGAGTAAAGAATAGTTTTTAGTTTGTTTTGTGTTTTTTGCTGTACTGGCATTTGAACCCAAGGACCCATAGCCTGAGCCACTCCACCAGCCCTTTTTTGTGATTGGTTTTTCAAGATAGTGTCTTGAGAAGTATTTGCTCAGGCTGGCTTTGAACTACGATCTTCCTGATCTCTGCTTCCTGAGTAGCTAGGATTACAGGTGTGAGTCACTGGAGCCCAGCCGGAAGAGTAGTTTTTTGTTAGTTAGGGCTATTGATGAAAGTTCTTGGAAATCATTCCAAGAGATTTGGACTTCATTTGTACCAAGGAACAGCCACTGAAAATTGTGTGATAGGGAGTGTTAGCAGTACCTTGGCTGTATTTGTCATGAACTAGAGGTCAGTGAAAGTGGAATAAAGTGAAGCCAGTTAGAGGGTTTTGAAAACTTTAAAATCAAATCATATTTCTTGTGCCCTAAAGAAACTCATTTATTTAATGAGATCCTGTTAGTTTTTTGTATGGTAGCTAGATGTTCCATAAAATGATCACTTTGTAAATTTTGTTTTTCATATTAGGTTTGTTTAAAGCAAGAATAGAGTCAGCTTTCCTTTGGTGGGAGGCTAGCCTTTAAAGGGAGATATTGAGGCAGATACATCCTTGGGATAGATTTTGTGATTATTTGTTCTTGCTGAGGAGGGCATTGATGCTTATAGAAAATCAGAGAGAGAGACTGAGTCAGGCTGACCACCTGTGTTGTTCCACTGGAAAGTTATGTAGACCATTTGCTAAAAATTCTGTATTTCTCAATTCAGATTGGTACCAGTGAGTAGATAATAGGTAAAAATAATTCATTTCCCACATTTATTTGACTTACCTCACTTGAAGCTAAGAATGTAAAATTCTTTGATAGTTTTTCAGTGATTGTAAAGCATTGTGTTTGGTGGGTGCAATAAATTATTTTATTGATTCTAAGACACCATATTTTTTCTTCAAAATTACACCTTAGAATAGTAGCATTTTTAAATTGCTTCCTGTGAAGTAGAAGTCATTATATAGTTATATAAACCTGCCATTGACTCCCTATGTGCTAAGCGGAATAATGGGACCCCCAAATATGTCTCTGTCCTAATCCCTAAAACCTTTGTAACTTTGTAAATGAAGGCTCTTGAGATGGGGAGATTATTCTGGACATGGATAGGCCTGAAATAATCACAGCAGTCTTTACTTCAGAGAGACAAGAGGGTTCAGGTCTTGTGGAGAAGGCGATTTGATGGTAGAAACAGAGGATGGAATAATGTAGTTTGCAGGTGAAGGAAGAGGCCGCTGGGAACTGAAAAACACAAGGAAATCCCCGCAACTCTGGGTGCAGTAGTCAATTTTTAAAGCACAAACTCTTTAAACTTCCAGTTTTACTTCCAGGTAACTTGACCTATAGCTTGATCACAGAAATTGACCTCATAAATACAAATTAGTTCACCTTCTAAAATAAATATTCATCAATGAGAATTTAGTAAATAATGTTATCTACAATGAAATACTATGTAGATTTTCAAAAATTTGGATTTATATATGCTAACACAAAATGATACCCAGTATATATTAAGTAAAAGAAAAAAAGAAAGTTGGAAAATTGTAATAGTTCTATTGTGCTTTAAAAAATAAAATGTTTTATATAAACCACATATGCATACATACATACATACTTAGGTATACAAAGGATACACAAGAGACTGTTAACTCTAGCTATATCTGGGAACTAGATTATCGGGTACCAGAGAAAGAAGAGTTTTACTTCTAGTCTTCATTGTCTGAAACTTCTTTTTAAATAATGACTATATTTTGTTTTGAGTTGTCTCTCCCCGCTCCTGTTCTGAGAAATTAACCCAATGCCATATACATGTCGGGCTCTACTACTGAGCTATATACTCCTATCCTATTACTTTTATAGTTAGGTCAAAAAGAAAAACCCCTAATACCAAAAAAGTTTGAACTTCTTTCATACTTGCTATATTTGTACTCTCTTGCTACATAGACAATGTATTTCTTTTGTAGTAAATTGGGATAATGGAGAAGAAATTTAATTTGTTCAACATTTAGATGAGAACTGCTTACAGATTAGTTATCTCTATCCATTCCTGTAAATATTTGAATTTTTTTTTCCCCAGGTCCAGCACAGAACCAAATGCAGGTGCCATCTGGGTATGGATTACATCATCAAAACTATCTTCCTCCCTCAGGACATTACTCTCAAGGACCTGGGAAAATGACCTCATTGCCATTGGATAACCAGTGTGACGATTACGACTCTGGCCTCTATACAGTACCAACACAAAATGTGGTGACTCCTAGCATAGCAAACCAACCAGGAGCACAGCAGATGTATGGCAGGGTTCCTCCTGCCCCGCACATTGTGGGATCCACTGCAGGATCTTTCCAAGGTGCTGCATCATCAACATCCCTTTTGCATACCAGTGCATCCCATCCCTACTCCTCTTTTGTGAATCACTACACTAGTCCAATGTACTCTGCCAAGTCTTCTGTTGCTTCTCAGGGATTTCCCTCTACTTGTCATTATGCTATGTCCACTGTTCCTTATTCTGTGTATCTTAGTGTTTCATATCCTTCTGTGCCTGCTGGTGATCCATATGGGCAAATGTTTACCTCACAGAATGCTCCAACTGTCAGGCCAGTTAAAGATAATTCATTGTCTGGCCAAAATCCAGCTATCAGCCATCCATCACTGCTTCCACCTCCACCTTCACAGCAGCACGATCAGCAGCAAAGTCTTTCAGGATATAATACTCCATCATGGGCAGCTCCAGGCCTTCCATCAAGCAAAGACAATCTCATCCGAAACCACATGGGATCCCTGACTACAGCCCACAACAACCCAACAAATGCTGGTAGGTTGAATAAAAGGTTCACCAAAACCTGGTTGAAAATTAGTGCATTTCCAGATAAGTTACTATTTATGTGAATGTTAAAGATGATATTGCCTAATAGAAAAATGGGAAATTAGCTCACCATTGCAATGTGTTTGCTTTTTTATTGTGGCATTTTAGAGCATCTTCCTGAACTCTTCTTCCCCATTCATTCTCAGTTAGCCACCCAACCATCTGCTCTGTGTAGCCTGGTTTCTTGCCATGATTGGGATCTCAGTCAATGTTTGAAGTACTTTATGCCTCTGCTATAGTTGTCCTTAATGTGAATATAGGGCAAATTGGAAGGATCCATTTTGAGGATGCACCTGGCTTTGAGCTTGTGCCAGTACTTTTTTTCATACTAGTTCAACTTGGGCAGCTATTTTTCCAGCCAGAGTCCCATTCATACAGAAAAGTTGGTGGATGGCCTGCAACATTACACCGACTTCTCTAAGATATTTCCTGTACACAAAAGCTGTTTCTCATTCTTACATTGGTAAAATAGGATGAAGGATGAAGAAGGGACTTCCTAACCCAAGATGTAGTTAAATGCATTGTTAAAAAATTATGGGGACTGGAGTTGTGGATCGAGTGATAGAACACCTGCCTAGCAAGCACAAGGCTCTGAGTTCATACTCCAATGCCAGTCCCCACCCAAAAATTTATGTATATAAGTTTTTTTTTGATACTGAGAGTTGAAATCAGGTCCTTGTACTTGTTAGGCAGGCACTGTACAACTCCACCAGCTGTTTTTGTGTTGCTTATTTTTGAGATGGGGTCTTGCTTTATGTGCAGGCTGGCCTGGAACTAGATGCTCCTATTTGTGCCTCCCCACATAGCTGGGATGACAAGTGCATATCACTGTGCTCAACCATTGGTTGAGATGGATTCTTGTGAGCTTTTCGTCCAGGCTGGCCTGGAACTTTGAGCCTCCTGATGTCTGCCTTACTCATAGCCAGGATGATAATTTTGAGCTATAGAGCCTGGCCTTGGTTTTTTTTTTGTTTTTTTTAAAGTGTGGTGTTCCATAGGATATTCTCATTTGAATTCAGCTTGCAAACTTGAATATAATACAGTGTGCTTTTGAACTAACTGAAAATGTAAAGAATAGTAGTTGGTAAGCTATGGTAGTTTTCTGAATATCTTTAGATTGTAAAGATTTATATTTATATATAAACAATCTAAAGATTATATGTTTATATATTTATATATTTATATTTCAAGAATTATGTGGAAAGGTGTCTTTCCCTGGACAATTGAATTATTTAAAAGTAGAACTTTATTATTAGTACTGGACTATACTTGTGGGTTAAGCAAATATCAACAATGTGATGGATACATGCTGTTTTTTTAGGTAGGTGATGAATTCGTATTCAAAATATGAAATAAAAGTGACTTGAAATGTCATCTCTTTTGCTTCTTATTTTAGAAAAGCGTGTTCGTACACTATAATTCAGCTCTAGAGCTTCATGTTGTTTTTTAAAAACGTCTACTCCAAATAAGATGTTTTGGGTGCTGTGTTTGTAATCTAGGCTGAACTTTGGCTTTAAAAGTTTAAAAGTTGTCATTGCATTAGGCCCTTTAAAATTGTAAACTGTTCTTGTAGGTGAATCTCTAGTATAATTAAGTAATCCAGTACAGAATTATAGTCAAGGTGAAAGTACAGAAGCTATTTTTTAGTTTGAGGCAAAGTTGCTTGTATGTTGCTTGTATTTGGATGCCATTGACAGCCAAATGAATACTAAAACTATAGATTTACTTATAGAAAGGTATTTTCTTAATTTGTTTTTAGCATTTCTTTGCTTTGAAAAAGCACATAATTTTAAGAACTAGCAAGATAAATCTTGTTTCCAAGTTGTAGAATTTTGCAAGAAAATTCGGATTAAAATGAATTATTTTGAATATTTCTTGCTTACTAAGAATTATATATTGATAGCATATTATAAAATAGCATCTTTTTAATGCCATTTTACTATGTATAGATTTATCCAAGAAGCGTTGAAAAAACTACTAGCATGAAAATATTTATGTAATCTTTGTTTAAAAGTCTACTATATAATGACACTAAGGTACAGACACTGATTAGTTAATAAACCTGTTGTCTCTAGATGACGTGTCTTGAGGAAAAGCAAAATAAATATTCTGCAAGAGATGATTATCAGGGCAAAGAAACATAAGTTAGAAATAGACAGCTGCATTGCAAAACTGTTCACAAAACGTACAAATGGTATGATACAAGATATTATTTTCCACTTTGGAAGCCTGTAAGATTGCAGAATTGTGAGATAGGAATAATATGATTTTTGCTCCCTTGTACTCCTACTCCTTCAGGTTTTTTAAAGTTACACTTGAACATTATTATCTTTTCTACATGTCCTTCTTCAAGCTTAGAAGATAAATGTGTCTTTTGTCTTCCTGCAGAATTTGGCTTTATCAGTTATCTTAGCAGTGTCATTTTCTCAGTTTCCAGTGGACTGTGGCATTGGATAGGTGGAGGAATTAATGAGGGAAAAGCATATGCTTTGTCTAGTCTTCAGCCATCAAAAGTTTATAAGCAAGGTGGTGGCACTATTGGATTTGCGATTCAGATCTTTCTTCTGTGAACATTGTGGTAAACACCGAAGGAGGAAGACCAACAGGAAAGAAATGACTGTGGTTATCTAAGCAGGGCATGATGAATTAGGCTAGTATTTGCTTAGACAGAGGACAGGTATCTGAGATTACTTCAGTGATTTATTGATATTAAGGAAAAGGAAGACTAAAATTAGATGACTTAAAATTTCTAGGTTATTTTGGAGATAAGGTCTCTCTCTTTGCCCAAGTGGACCTGACCATAATCCTCGTATCCTTCCCACTGGATAATAGGTGTATTCCACAAGGGCCAGGTTTTTTTCTGTTTAAGGGGGAGTGCCAAGAACTTTTTTGCCTGGACTGGCCTGGAACTGCAATCTTTCTGATCTCAGTCTAAGCTTGGCTTGACATGCTTAGTTATAATGAAGGAATATTCTCTTGAGAGGTTGTCCAGATACTAATCTTCAAATATATTATGTATGAGGAAATGAATTCTCAGTAATTTAAAAAGAAATAAGAAACTACTAAGAGCTAACTAAAGAACTGTTCTTGAATTGTGATTTCTGTCTCTGAACATCCCATAAGCTAAACAGCAGTTAATTCATTTGGCTTAGTGCCAGTTTTATATATTGTTTCTTCTGTCACACTCCCTTTGGCTTTTGGTCTATCTAGTCTATAGCCAACAAATATTTAAGAACCAGCTATGTGCCAGGGGTTCTTCTAGTGTTGGGAGATAAAATAGTTAATAAAGATTCTGGATTTTTATCCTCATAAACTTCGCAATACACTTGAGGAAGGTAACATCCACATAAACAAATAAATGTAAAGGTGCCATTATTCACGTGTCTCGAAGTAGGAATTTATAGTACTTGGAGCGCTTTCTTCAGGCACATTTGGCCTGTTAGTCATGAAGCTTAGGGAAGTTTTGTCTGAGGAAGTGATATTTTGGCTGTAATCTGGAGGATGAATTTTCCATGTATAAAAATACTTTGTGGGTAAAATAAATATTTAAATGCAAAAGGTAAAACACTGATGTTCTTCAGAAAAAATATAGAAGATTTATCTTCAGAGCCTTGGAGTAGGAAAGGATTTCTTAAAGACAACACACATAATGCTAGCTATAAAGGAAGGATAAGCATGATAAACTTGAGTAATTTCTCGTCAAAAACTTTGCATCAATGGAAAACAGAATAAAATGAAAAGACAAGCTGGGAACTTGGATTGGAGGGATCATAGATGAGAACATTCACACTCTTCGCATTTCTCTATGGTCTTAGAATCTGAGAAATCAGGAGAAATCAGGGCATTTGCCTTTGACTTATAACTCATGTTACTAGCACTACTCACTCCTCAGACCTGGCAGGTAGTTCAGAACTGGTAGAGGCAGAAGCATTTTTTCCTCATTTTTAAAGGAAAGAGGACTGGCAGAGTGGCTCTAGTGGTAGAGCATCTGCCTAGCAAGTATGAGGCCCTGAGTTCAAACCCCAGTACCACCAAAAGAAAAAAAAAAAAAAGCTCCAGGTCAACCTGAGTTACTCAGCAAGACCCCATCTCAAAAAGTAAAAACAAGCAAAACAACAACAACAAAAAGACCAACAACTAAGCACACATGAACAGGCATTTTACAGAAGATGAAATGAAAACATATTCAAACTCCCTAGTAATCAGAGAAAAGCAAATTAAAACTAAAATAGATAACTTCTTAACATCAGATTGATAAAAATTTGAAAGTCTGGGAACACTAAAACATCTTAAAGATGTGAAGTAACCAGCAACTCTTAGACAGTGTTATAGGAGGGCATTGATTCCATATTGTAGGAAAATTTGACACTAGTGGAATGGAAGATAACCACATTCTAAAAATTAGCTGTCCCACTTATATATACTGTAGAGAAGTTCTCCTCAAACGTTGAGCACGTGAATTTCCTAGGATCTTACTAAAATTCCAATTTTGGTTCACAGAGTCTTTCCTGAGAGGTGTTAGCAGCCCGTAGACTAGAATCAGGAAGGCCAGAGCATGACTTCTGTTTCAGATGTTTAGTGCTTGTGGCAAAAGATAACATTTGTTTGGGATACTGGGCTGAAGAAGCTACCCCTAGGCTTCAGGTAAGGCTGCATACCTCCACCTACAAAAGCTGAGCACACCCGTGAGAAACTCTGCCCTAGAGAGTTTTTCATGACCAGGAACATGTTCAAAAATATAATGATATTTTCAGCTTTTCACAAAGAAAGTATTGTTACTAAAAGTGATGATGCAGTCAGCATATTTGGGCTACCTCCCACCTCCTTTCCCATTCTCTTGCTTACTTTATCTGTGCACTATGAGGATGTTCTGTGTAACACTTTTGGTTCCATTATCACAGCTCTCCATTTGTTTCAGTCTTATACCTAAGTTTATTTACATATATACATATGTATGTATGTGTGTATATATGTATATGTAGGTACATACACACATATAATATGCGTGCACATGTGTACACATATGTAAGTTGTATATTTATTCATTATACATCACTGCTCACTGCTGTGCTTTTGTGATAGGCTTTTCAAGCATCTCTTGGTTGGAGAAGCTTCAAGATTATCCTATAGGTTAGTGTATTTCAACTATGGACAACTTCGCCTCTTTGTAGACATTTGGTAATTTGAGATATCTCAAATGCTAGTACAAATGGTATGTACTTTCTTCTAGAAGTTCAACATAGTGTTGTGAGACACATACTTACCTGTGAAATAAGGCATCTGGTCAGAACCAGCAAATGAGAAGTGGCAGTTTAGAAAGCAAAATAAGATCTGAGCTCATACTAGAAGTATTTGTGGAATTCAAGGATCACATTACTTCAGAGTCAGCTAACTTTTAAAGAAAGCTGTTTGGGGTTCATTTTGTTTTAAGAAGGTAAGGAAGCTTGTGAAATATTTTAGGAAAATTGTCATTAAAATTATTAAAACATTTGTTGGGTAGCTTTTCAGTTTTGTTTGAAAATCACTTCTTTGGGCTACCTTTTCTAGCTGCAGCAGATAATGTGATGCTACTGAAGTTTCTAAAAAACTTCAGTAAGCTGTATTTTTTAGGTAAGTATATTTTAATATATTTCACCTTTGATGCTGTGGATGAAATAGTTTGTTTTCCATTGCAGATTCTCTGTCCTGTCCGGTTATGCCTCCCAAGTCTAGCTCAGTAGCATGTACTGCTTTGTCAGGAGCCTCCTCAACAAAAATGCCTCCTGTTGCAAAGCACCCAGTTGAGCCCATGGCCTCAGTCACACAGCCATCAGAGCTATTACAGCAGAAAGGTATTGGAGAAATTTGTTATTTTATGTATACACACAAACCTTCATATCCAATAGTGACTTGAAAATTCAAACTATGTAATCACGATTTATAGAAAACATGAAAAAAAGTAATTTTACTCAATTCAAGCTTGTCTTCTGTTTACATATTAACTTCCAGTTTCAGTTTATGATTATTTTACATAACTTCAATCATAGTGTACATACCATTTTGTATTTTGCTTTTATGTTTATTGAATTCTACATAGTTATTCATATATCTACGTAATCTTTTTAACCATTTTCATGACTAATAATCCATTGTGTTGATGTTTTATGGGTTACTAATGTTATTAATCCATCCTTCCATAATAGGACATTTATTTCCTGGTTTTTTTCAAAGGTTACATGTGTTTTTTAGGGAGAAAGCAAGCAAGATCTTATTTAGTGACTCTTCATGTTCTGTTTGATGATTTCTGTGTTTGTCATTATTGTTAATAGAAAATAACCTTTGACACAATTTTGGGGCATGAGAGGGATGAAAATGAAATTGTAACCCACACTTTTGCATCATTTACAGACTATGTAATTAATTTGTTTAATATTCTTAAATAAGTGCCAGGTGACAAAATGTGTTGTTTTGATCCTGTTTCTCCGCATTGTCTTTTCACTAAGAAATTTTCTTTATTTTCTATCTGGCTAAAATTCCAAAGTATCGATGTTTCACGTTAATGTACTGTGTTTTTCAGTTGATCAGCGATAACTGAACTGTTTTCAGGAATCTGTAGTTTGTATTTCCAAAACAACTACTATTACATTGTAAGTAAGGATTATACTCACTATGTAATAATGATAGCTCCCAACCTTGAGTGTGAAGAGCCCTTCCATTATGTTCTGAAACTTAGAAAAGGAAAATGTATGATAATTTTTAGGCAGCTTTCACTGCTTATATACTTTCTGTTGTTGTTTTGGTCAGGTTAGAAATTAATTTTTAATGTAAAATGAAGATTTTTTTTTTTTGTGGTACCAGCATTTGAACTTAGGCCTTACGCTTGCTAGTTAGATGCTTTACCAATTAAGACACTCCGCCAGCCCTTGCTTACATCTCTTGAGTGTTTACGTGGTCAACAGAAGCTTTTCTGTCAATTGATTGGTTTATATAGTATACATTTTCTTATTTGATTTTAAAGGAAAACTATCCGTGGCACACAAAGTGTTCACTGGTTCCTAAAACCAGTGGGTATAGTGTGAGTAAGAATGTAGTTCTTATAAGCATGCACCTTCAAAGTGAAGATCTGGTAGGAATTTTTGCTGATAATAAATAGAAAAACCTGAAGAGTGGCCAAAGCCCTAAACAAATGGTGTCTTTTTCCTGTCTTTCTTCTATGTGTTTGGCTGTCTCCCTTTTCTCACATATCTTGCTTCTTTTAACCCTTTACATTGCCCCTGCTGATTTCCTCCTATCATATTTTTTTTGACCATCTTGCTTTAAATACCATACTGCCATCTTACTATTAAATATTATTTTGTGAGCTATTTTGTCACTAAACAATTTCAATTACATTTCTTCTTTCTTACTAGTAAAACAGATTTTAAAGCGAGAAGGAACTACTATTAAGCACTGAGGATACTCCCTATACTTTGTTTTCATTGTTTAATTAATCTCTATGTTACTCCCATGACAATAGGACAATAGATTAGCTTCTTTGAGGACTCTGTGTTTGGTTGATTTGGGGTACATTACCTAATTGTTTATGGGAGTCAAGGTTACTATGAAAGATTGTACAGGTTCCTTTTTCTCCTTGAAGCTTTTCCCTGAATGTAAAAATATATTCTTGAGCTAGAAACTGTTTTATCATTCTGTCATACTTTTCTGCCACAATAATCTGTAAATTGAAAGGTTAACTTTTTTTATTGTTAGTGACCCTGTGTCTATAATTATTAATTTTTTTTTAGAGTAAACTATCATTATAGTTACAATTGCTCAAAACAGTGCAAACATCATGAATTTTTGTATTATTTGGTATTTCTTTTTTTGTTTTTCAGCACTGGGGCTTGAACTCAAGGCCTACACCTTGAGCCACTCTACTAACCCTTTTATGTGATAGTTTTTTTTTAAGATAGGGTCTCTCGAGCTAGTTGCTGAGGCTGGCTTCAAACCACGGTCTTCCTGATCTCTGCCTCCTGACTAGCTAGGATTACAGGCATGAACCATGAGGGCCTGGCTTGGTATTTCCTTTTTTTTTTTTTTTTTAATTCATTTATTCACATGTGCATACATTGTTTGGGTCATTTCTCCAACTTGCCCCCTCTCCCACCCTTTCCCCCCACCCTCAGTTCCAGACAGGTCCTGTTCTGCCCTTATTACTAATTTTGTTGAAGAAAAGACACAAGTATAATAAGGAAGACAAAGTGTTTTTGCTAGTTGAGTTAAGGATAGCTATACAGAGAGATTCCTAACATTGCTTTTGTGTACCCAGGTGTTACTACCCATGTTGATTCATTTTTAATGAAAATATATTTTTCAGTGAGATGAATGGGCTCTCCCTCTACCCACTACAGCTTTGTGTCTGGGTTGCATATAATTTATTATTAAAATATCATAGACTTGAGGTCAGTTTCCACCTTCACATATATAATTAATTAATGAGGAACTTTGTCAAATAAAGAAGATAAGAATGATTTTGGAATACTTTACACTATTATTATTTTTAAAAATCTTTTTAATCCTCTAAGTCCCATGTCAGAAATTGTCGTTTGTTAGATTTAATTTTCCAGGTTGTGAATCATTGTTAGTGTTATTACTTTCAGATAGCAGCTTACAATGTATGAATGCCTTTCACTTTTATTATCTCACTTGCTTACCACTTGAAAGAGGCACTTGGTGCCTCATCTTCCTTTTATAAATAAGGAAGCTGAAAGTTAGACAATTTAAACTTTGGGTCCTACTCAGAGACCTACAGACTGCTAGGAGGGGTGCCATGACCCAGCACAAATTTTCTGTCTCTAAAGCTAGTGGTCCTTTTATTTTACTTTATCAATAATTCAGAATCTTGTGAATTTCTTTTTTTTGTGTGTTTTTTTTTTGTGGCATTGGGTCTTGAACTCAGGGCCTCATGCTTACTATGCAGGTGCTCTTACCACTTGAGTTACTTTGCCAGCCCCTTTTTTTTTTGCAGTACTAGGTTTTGAACTCAGGGCCTTCACCTTGAGCCACTCCACCAGGCCTATTTTTGTAAAGGGCTTTTGGAGATAGGGTCCGGAGAATATTTGCCCAGTCTGGCTTCGAACCGAGATCCTCCTGATCTCTGCCTCCTGAGTAGCTAAGTGGTTTACAGGTGTGAGCCACTTAACTGGTAGTCCTAGGAAAAAGAACTAGTAATACTCAACTGAGTGTGGTGGTGCATACCTGTGATCTCACCCCTCAGGTGGCTGAGGCAGGAGGATAGGAGTTGGAGCCCAACTTGGGCTACACAGCAAGATTGTCTCAGAAAACCAAAAAGTAAAAAGTAAATGAATTAGCATTACGAAAGTACACTAGTACTAGGCTTTTTTTCCCTGACTTGCAGTAGGAATGAGTATTAAGAATAACTGATAATAATTGTTTTTAATTAAATATACACAAAAACATGTTTTAAAAGTTCAGTGCTGAAACTGGCTAGCACTAGTATTTAGTATGTGACAGGTACCATATGTGTAAGCATTTGAAATATGTTACTTCAGCAACCATTTGAGGTAGTTACTGTTCCACTTATAGTTGACTTATGTTGAAGAACAGCAAGGTTAGTACTTGCCCAGTGACACATGACTAGTACATGGTCGGTCCTGGAACTGAACCTGAACTGAACTGAAGTGTTTTGAATCTTCATGAAGTGTTTTGGATCTTCATGAAGGCAGAATTCTTATTTGAATAAGTTTATCGTTACTCCTACCACTCCACTTTTTATATTTCTGAAGGAAGACATTCCAGTGAGAGCCAATCCTCTTTTTAACATGTTTCACCCATAACTGAGATGTGTCTGTCAAGGAAAACAAAAAAAGTCTATAGGTTTGGGCCTCAGTTAATCAATTTAAGAAAGGAGGAAGCTTTCTTTTCAGCAGCAGAGAGACTTTATACCTTAGAGCAATGTGTCACAGTAAGATTTAGGTAAGTTAAGGTTGTGTGTTTATTTTGTGAAGTGAGAGAAAGGCTTTGGTGAACCCACACACTTTTTAAGGAAAGTACTTAATGTAAATTGGTATCTGAAAATTGATTCCCGTACAGCTGTTGTTTTGTGGGAATCCTAAAAGTCTTTGAGAATGTGTACCTAGTTTGAAGATCAGTTTAGAAAAGGTAATAGTTGCTGAAAAGTCTGAACTGATGAAATAAGAAACGTAATCTCCACAAGGGATTTGTTCTCTTAAGACCAGTTTGAATTATTCCCAGTATAGCTGTATCTAGGGAACAGTGAAGATACCTTTTATTAAGCTGACCCAAAGGATATGGCCTCCTGGAGAGTTTTGCCTGAGGTACTTTACCAGTAAATAGTTTAATCTGAATGTCCTTTTTAGTAACACCCTGCCCTAGCTGGAATCCAACCTAGAGTTTTGTACATGTTGGACAAGTGCTCTAGCACAGTGATGGTTTGTAAGTTTTCTTTTCTTGGGTGGTGTCCTTTTTTAAATACTGGGGTCTGTTAATTACAGAGCTCTTCATCATGTCAGATTCTGAAGTGTTTCTTCATAGAAGTCCTGATTAAACCAGAATGAATGAGAATATTGCATTCTCTTTTCCTTTGGTGGTGGTAGTAGTGGTAAGTATTCCATGTACATTTCTACAGTGAGTTCCAGAATGAGCACTAGGACAAGGTGTTATAATCTCTCACCTTATCTGTTTGGCCTATGTAGTCATGCAAAAGTTCTGGCACTTAAAGAAGCACTTTGGGAAGCTTTCATACCATACCCATTCATGTATTCTAGAGGAGATGATGTGGCTGATAGTTGCTGTGGCTGTAACTCCCTATTTATTGCAGTCTGTATGTGTTGCACACAACCTAGGGTGGGGCATGTAAATGTGGAATGGTTATTATTCTGGAGCTGTTAACATCCCTCTGTGGATTAACTAAAGGGTCATTAATATTCCCAAGCTTTCGATAGAGTTTACTTGAACAAACAAAAGATAAACTAAATCTGAGCATATTAAGAGTTATAATGAAAGCCAAGCACAGTGGCTCATGTCTGTAATCCTAGCTACTTGGGAGCTGGAGATCAGGAAGATGGTAGTTTGAGGCTAGCCTAGGCAAAAAGTTAATGACCCCATCTCAGCAAAACAAGCCAGGAGTGGTGATGCACACCTGGCTAGCTCTGAGTGAGAACATAAGACCCTACCTGAAAAATAAGTAAAGCAAAAAAGGTCTGGGGCCATAGCTCGAATAGTAGAGCACCTGCTTAGCCCCAGAACTGCAAAAGCAACAGCAATAACAACAAAAAACCTTACAGTTGGAGAAGAAAGGTGTTTGACATTCTGTTGATACAGTACATTGATAACCACAGTATAACTATTAGTCTACTCTGTCTTATTGTAAGTTTGTTTCAGTGCGTTAAATTGCTGCTATATGAATATTTTATTGTTGTATGGCCATCTTATTACTCTCAGATGGATATTTTTATCCAGCAAATCTAGAGAGGAAATTATTTATTTTATAATAAATATGTAAGTTTGTCTTATGTTTTGATTCCCTCGATTAGAGTCAACAACCAGCCAAATTCATCCAGTCATGAAAAGAGTGAATTCTCTTTTGATTCTTTTGCGTATCGGCCTATCTTAGCTCAGTACAATGAACAGAATTTCTCCTTCTCCTTCCCCTCCCTCTTCCTCCTCATACCCCTCTTCCTCTCCCTCCTCCCTCCTCCCTCTTCTTCCCCTTCCTCCCCCTCCTCCCCATCCCTCCAGGACCTCACACTTTCTAGGCAGGCACTCTACTATTTGAGTTACTCCACCAGCTCTTGCTGTGTTGAGTATTTTTGAGATAGGGTCTCAAGAACTACTTGCCCAGACTGGCTTTGAACCTCAATCTTCTCTAATCTCTGCCTCCTGTGTAGCTAGGATTACAGGTGTGAACCATGAGTGCCTGGCTTTCTGTCATCTTACATGCATACACATATGTATGTCTTTTAAAGTGCAGTGCTAGTAGTATTCAGAGAAAGTATTTTATTTTAAAAAGTAGGGAATGGTGGCAGTACCTGTATTTCCAGCACTCTGGAAGGTGGAGAAAGGAGGAAAGTTTGATGGCAGCCTGGATTACAAGAGTGAAACCCTGTGTCAGAATATAACAAAAACAGCTGGATGCCGGTGGGTCACGCCTATAATCCTAGCTTCTCAGGAGGCAGAGATCAGGAGAATCACAGTTTGAAATCAGTCTGAGCAAATAGTTCACAAGACCAGATCTTTAAAAAATCCACAGAAGAACTGATGGAGTGGCTGAAGGTGTAGGCCCTGGGTTCAAATCCCAGTACCACAAAAAAAATAAAAAATAAAAACAATAAGAGAAAAACAAAGTCTGCTTTTTAAATGTTTTAAATTGAAGAATTTATTTTCTATAAAATCTTTTACTACCGATCTGCTTAATCATAAACTTCTGTCTAACCCAAGATCTAAGATTAGTCACATTTTCATTTTAATTAGGCTGTTTTAGAGGAAGTGCCTCTCTGAATTTGGAAGGTATCAGTTTGTTTCTTGTAATGCCTGAACTTACTTTGAATTTTACTTTCTCAGATTTGTTTGAGATAACTTCTGTTTTCTCTTTATTAAAGAATGTTTCAGCAAAGCTGGCATCATTTCCATGACTTTGTCTTAGTGGGAAGATCAGAGTTCACTCATCTTTACCTTTGTTTTCTTCTAAACACAACTGTTACTCTTTAATAGCTTTTTTCTTACTAGAGTGATGAGTTATGTTTATCCATACTAATCAAAAAAGGTCACAGGTGAAGAAAGCAATGGAGGCTGATCTTGTGCTTTTGCTGAGGCAGGGCTTCATTGTGCTTTTAGTGTTAGGAAGCGTTTCTGGAACTCTCCATCAGGTTTCTAAGTTTTTCTTCTTTTCAAATTAGAGTTATACAATTTTCCTTACAAGCATATTTATTCTTTATGAAGTTTTTTTTGGGCGGGGCTTGGTACTGGGATTTGAACCAGTACCAAGATTCAGGCTTGTAAGCTTCTTGCTTGCAAGGCAGGCACTCTACTGCTTGAGCCTCCAACTCACATGTTTTCATTTTTAAGATTAACTTTATTTTCCCTCTTGAAAACTATATGAATGTTACTATTTTACATCTTAATTTTACCAATTTAAGTAATAAAAATACCCAATCAAGGGAAGTCTTATGTAGTGACCAGTAAGTACCAGATGTGTGCCCTTTACACAGAATCTGCCTTCTGTTGGTGCAGATCTTAGAGGACTGCCTATTTCACACCCAATATAAAGGTGATAGAATAGCACTGACATGAGTGACCATCTCCTCTCAGGAAATCCACTTCTCTGTAATTGTCACACTTAGAGGAGCACAGTTAAAGGCTTTGGGATTTTTTTTTTTTTAATGTGGTTAACTGAGAACTGTGCTGAGTACAGTTCTTTAACTGCCTTTCTTTTCCATTATGGGAACTGAGCTACAATCAAGGTGGCATTAGCAGATGGAAGGTCCCTAGTGTCTGAATGTGTTTTGTATGCTGTAAAAATTCAGTTCAGTAGAAATGATCACTGCTCACTAAGAATATATAGTCCCAAAGGAAGTATACCACCATAGCCCTCAGGTCAAAGTGAAACAGATAGTGGGGATCCATCTCTCCCTGGGACACTGGGACAGAAGAGAAGTATTGTGAGAGCACTGTTAAATATTGTTAAAGTATTATTTTTGATCAGTCTTTGTTCCAAGCACCCTTTTAAATTTTTATTTTCCTTTAAATGTGCTGAGATGTTGGGGGCTTGGGAGCCTTAACTTCCTAGTTGACAGCTGCTAGATCCTTCTTTGGGGCACTGGTTGCCTTGGGCAAAGGACTGCCAGCCAGAGAACAGACTTCCCTCATCTACCATCCCAAGCATAAGTCTAGCTCCAGAAGGCACTGCCCAGTAAGCAGCTTGTCCTGGAGTTCAGCTGAACAGATCAGTTGCCATCACTGCCACCTCCACCCAGGCATAGAAGAAGGAGCACTTTAGTCTAACAGAAGACCTATGATTGGTACAGACACAATCCTTCATTGGTATAATGGACTGTACCATGATTGATAAAATATGAGAAGACTGCTGTGAATGATGCAGACACTCTTGTCCTCTCTCCCTTCTAGTTGTATAAGCAGGCAGCTCAACTCACTTTGTGAGCAGTTGGGAAATACACTCCTTGCTGCTCTCCTGGTGTTAACAACATCAGGTGGCAATAAAGTCTTCCTTTTTAATATTCTTGTCCCCCTTTGCTGAGCTGGAAACATGAAGAAAAAGAAGAGGAGCAGCAGCAGTGGCAGGGAGAAAGCTTCCCTGACAGTAGGACAGCAGGAAGGCCAGCAAGCTGAGTAGTCTGGGTGAAACTGACCAGAGCAGCAGGGGCAGGCAGCAGCTGGCAGCAAAGAATATTGGTGAGCAGTGGAGAGCTGTAACACAGAGAGCCTCAGGTCACCTGTGGTGTGGGATCAGTTGGTGGAGAAATCCCTCCTGTAGCAGGAGTTGTAACACTTAGGGCCCTAAACCCTGGGCTACTGCCTTAGCTGTCAGAGGCCTCTGGCCCAAACCCCAAGTCACTTTGTTAGCCACTAAGGGCCTCAGATCTGATCCCCAGGCCCCAACCCTGTGCCACCACCTTAGCTGTCAAAAGCCCATGGCTAACAGCTATTTCCCACTGTCATCCACTGTGCTGCCTGCAGATATGACAAGGTCCTGGAATAACTGGAGGAGTTTCTCCTTAACCTGCCCATGATTTCTATCTGGGTAGAACATCAGAGCCCCAGCCAGCTGGGTAGTAAGAAGGTAAATGTTTATAGAGCTCAGAAGCATTTTCTGAGAATATCATTGCAGTTTCTAAATATCATCAGTATAATACATGGTACTTTTTTCATACTTAAACTAGTTGGTTCATATTAAAACTGCTTTTACTAAACTGCTTTGCAGAGATTTTCTAATGACTGTAGTTTTGATAATAAATTTGCTAATATTACTATGCATGCTGGGATGTTCTTTGGAATGTCAGAGTTCTTTCTCACTTTTAATGCAATGTCAAAATTTTATTTCTTATCTTTCCTGTTGGTTTGACTCTTGTATTTGTGCTTTCCACTTTACAGGCATGCAGTATGGTGAATATGTTAATAATCAAGCTAGCTCTGCACCAACTCCCTTGTCATCAACTTCCGATGATGAGGAAGAGGAGGAGGAGGATGAGGAAGCAGGTCTGCTTTAGCTTTACACCAGTTTTTGATCTTTTACTCACATTTTCTTTATTTCTGTAGTCTGAGCCTTGGGGGAAAAAGTGTCTTTGAAGATTTAGCATAATGAACTTTATGGGTTTTTATTACAGAAAGTTGGGTCACTTGAAGTGAGGTGTGTGTTTTGTTTTTCCTCCTTTGGATAGCCTTACCATTTTATTAGTAAAAGAATCCATCTTTCATGATGGCAGCATTTTCTTCTTTCAGAAACCCATTTCCTCCCATGTCATGTGCAGAGCATTGAGTCTGACTGAAGCTCTTGGCTGATGATTGCTGTGGCAACCTTTTAGGAATAATGTTCTCTGCTTTGCATGCTATGTTAATAAAAATAAACTATGTGAATTTTACAGTAGTGATAGAGAAATAGAGTTCTTTGAGGTCCTTGGCCTTTCTTGCTGTGCACCTAGAAGGTCCAGAATTTATAGTTCCTGCTTATGAGGTGGTAGTTTATATTAACTGAAGAAGTTGTGCTTAGAGCTGTGTGGTACAACCCATTTAATTTCTTTTTCTGCCTTGATAAGTAGAACACTGCTAAAAGTTAAACAATTTATTTCTTCTATTAACTTTAACAATTTAAGACTGAGTTACTATAAGCGACCATGATTGTCCTTTTTTTTGTGGGGAGGCAGTCCTAGGATTTGAACTCAGGGCTTCATGCTTGCTAGGCAGGCGATCTTACTCCTTGAGCCGCTCCCCTGCCCAAAAATGTAGAAATCTTTATGCATGATTTGAGGGAGATGATAATAGATGGTACCAAGTAGGAAGTAACTTTTTTACTTTGGGCACAAAAGTACCCATTTACCTTTCAGAAAGTTTTAATTTTTTAAATTTTAATATGATTTAAAATTTACAGAAAAGTTGCAAAAAAGAATGAAAGAAACTCCCATATATACATCCCTCTATTTGCTTTATAATTCTCTTTATATAGTTCTCTGCAACATTTGACAATGAATTGAAGATATTTCGAACTTCACCCCTTCAGTGTATATTTCCTAATTATAAGAACAGTGTCTTACATGACCACAATACAGTTTTCAGGAAGTTGAACTTTGATTCAGTAATATCTGGTACACAGTCCATAGTCAGATCTCGTCAATTCAGTTGTCTCAATCTGATCTTTTTTTCTTTTTGCAGTACTGGGGTTTGAGCTCAGGGCCTACCCCTTGAGCCTCTCCACCAGCCCTTTTTTGTGAAGGTTTTTTCGAGATAAGGTCTTGTGGAACTATTTGCCCTGGCTTGAACTGTGATCCTCCTGATTTCTGCCTCCTGAGTAGCTAGGATTACAGGCATGTGCCACTGGCACCCTGCTCAATCTGATCTTTTATAGATATTTTCACTGTCCAGATCCAGTCCGCAGTATACATTGCATTTAGTTGTCATCTCTGTTTAGATGCTTTCAATCTGGAACAATTTCCTTAGCCTTTCTTTCTTCACCTTGACAAGAATACGGGCCAAAAGAATGTAGACCAATTGGAGTGGATCAAGTGGTAGAGCTCCTGCCTAACAAGCATGAGGCCCTGAGTTCAAACCCCAGTACCACCACCAAAAAAAAAGAATGTAGCCCAGTTAAATCCTTAGTTTGGATTTAGCTATTTCCTCATGATTAGATTAAGATCATGCATTTTTGATGGGATTTCTAAGGTGATGTTGCATTCTTAGCCCATCCTGTCTGAGGCAGTTGATGTTAATTTGCTGCCATACTGGTGAGATTAACTTTGATCATTCTATTAAGATAGAATCTGCCAGGTTTCTCCATTATAATTACTACTTTTCTGTATTGAAATTAAGAGTAGCTGGATGTGGTGGCATGTGCCTGTAATCCCATCTATGTAGGAACCATAATAAAATAGGAGGACCATGGTTCATGCCTACCTGAGCATAAATGAGAGATCCTATCCCCACAAGTAAAACAAAAAGGGCTGGGGATGTGACACATACAGAGTGCTTGCCAAGCACAAGCCCTGAGTTCAACCCCCATGAACACCAGAAAAAGAAAAAAGAAAAAAAATTAATGAGTAATATCCTTTGGCACTGTATAACTGTCCTGTTCTTCGTTTAATTGTTGTTCATTTGCTTTGGTATTCCTTGATGATTTCAAATTCTGACAGTTCTTCTATATTAGATGAGTAGGAGTTTTAGATGAGAGTGGTATGGCTATAGACTGTTAGAAGTTTTATTACATAAGAGTCATTGATACCAGCTTTGATATCAAACTGGCTCTTGTTTTTTTTTTAATGGTACTTCCTTTAAGTACCTTTAAACCTCAGAAAGATGTTTCATACTCATCTGTACTTAATCTGCAGACTTGGAATGAGCTACTTTTCCAAGGTCTAATGGAATTTTGCTTATACTTTTTCTATGTTTTATGCAAGTTGTGAGGAAATAAAAATTCAAATTATCTGATTAAAGTTGAGCAGCAAATTTGAATATATTGGTCTTTATTGACCTATGTTACTTGTCTTAGAATAGCGTAAGCCTTTTCTCAAAGGCTTAAATGCCTCCTTATACTTTTCCCTATTTTCAAGGATTTTTTTTTTTTTTTTTTTGGTTTATTTATTTATTCATATGTGCATACATTGTTTAGGCCATCTTTCACCCCTGTTCTCCCCTTTCCTCTCTCCCCCCTCGCTTCCAGGCAGAACCTGTTCTGCCCTTATCTCTAATTTTGTTAAAGAGAAGACATAAGCAATAACAAGAAAGACAAAGCGTTTTTGCTAATTTGAGATAAGGATAGCTATACAGAGAGATTCTTAGCATTGCTTCCATGTACATGTGTATTACAACCCAAATTGATTCATCTCTACCAGACCTCTTCACTAATTCCCGGTCACTTTCCCATACTGACGTCTTTCAGCTCAAGATTACTATATTTGCTTGTCTATAGTGGGAACATCAAACACTTCCAAGTTTTGGCTTTCCTACCTATCCCTATTCCTCCTGTATGTGTTCTCCCCTTAGCGTGTGACCCATGTACAATATTACTGCATTTGTTTTAGGTCTAAAGTCCACATATGAGGGAGACCATACGATTTTTGGCCTTCTGAGCCTGGCTAACTTTGCTTAAGATGATGTTCTCCAGTTCCATCCATTTACTTGCAAATGACAAGATTTCATTCTTCGTGGCTGAGTAAAATTCCATTGTGTATAAATACCACATTTTCTTAATCCATTCGTCAGTAGTGGAGCATCTTGGCTGTTTCCATAACTTGGCTAGTGCTGCAATAAACATGGGTGTGCAGGTCCCTCTGGAGTAACCTGAGTCACATTCCTTTGGGTATATCCCCAGGAGTAGGATTGCTGGATCATATAGGAGATCTGTGTTTAGTTTTTTAAGAAGCCTCCATATTGTTTTCCAGAGTGGTTGTACTAGCTTATGTTCCCACCAGCAGTGTATGAGGGTTCCTTTTTCCCCATATCCTTGCCAACATTTGTTGTTGGTGGTGTTTTTGATGATAGCTATTCTAATGGGTGAGATGGAATCTTAGTGTGGTTTTGACTTGCCTTTCTTTGTGGCCAGGGATGGTGAACATTTCTTCATGTGTTTTTTGGCCATTGGGATTTCCTCCTTTGAAAAAGTTCTGTTTAGTTCAGTTGCCCATTTCTTTATTGGTTCATTGATTTTGAGGGAGTTTAGTTTTTTTGAACTCCCTGTATACTCTGGTTATCAGTCCTCTGATGTATAGCTATCAAATATTTTCTCCCACTCTGCCAGTTTAGAGACCATTTCTTTTGTTGTGCAGAAGCCTTTTAATTTCATGTAGTCCCATTTTCAAGGATTCTAACATATTCTTTTGATCTGTTCTCTTTCTTCCTTCCTCAGATTTTAGTTCCCTTCCCCCTTTTTCCTCCTTTTCCTTTTCTTCTTTGAAGCTGTGACCAAGAAGCCAGTAAAAGAGTGAGGAGGAAAAAAAATCTTCCCAATTTACAGTAGTCATACTTGTTCCTCATTTGGTCTCATCATTCTTGTCACTGTGTGGCATGAAGAGACTGAGGAGTTTGGAGCTATTTAAGGTTTAACAGTGAGGTAATAATCACAGCTATTTTTTTTCTTTTTTGTCTGAAATCAGCTTTTACATTCAGAACAGTACAGGGTAAGAGCTTCTTTAATCTGAAAATCTGAAATCTAAAATGCTCTAAAATCCAAAATGGTTTCAGTATCAACATGACATCATAAGTGAAAAGTTCTAAACCAGGCACTGGTGGCTCACGCCTATAATCCTACCTACTCAGGAGGCAGAGATCAGGAGGATTGCATCTGGAAGCCAACACTGGGCAAATAGTTCTCAAGACCATATCTTGAAAATACCCATTGCAAAAAAAAGAGCTGGTGGAGTGGCTCAAGTGGTAAGGGCACCTGTCTAGTAAGTGCAAGGCCCTGAGTTCAAACCCTAGTGTCACAAAAAAAAGAAAAGAAAGAAAAGTTCTACCTTATCGTGCTGAGTTGGTCACAGTCCAACCCAGGATGCATGAGAAATATTTTATAAAATTACTTTTAGACTATGTGTATAACGTGTAAATGAAACATAAGTGAATTTTGTATTTAGATTTGGGTTCCATCCCAAGATATTGCATCATTTTATGCAAATATTCTAAAATCTGAAAAAGTTTGAAGTCTGAAACACTTCTGGTTCCCAGAATTTTGGATAAGGAGTACTCAATCTATATTTTGGTGAATATCATAGTTCTGAAGATCAATGCAGTAGCATAGCTTCTGGTCTTCAAATACTTCTAATAGGATAGGGGAGCAGGTACCATGTGTGATTATAGTACAACTTGAAAAGTGCAATAATTTGGGGTTGACAAATTTGCCCTTACCTAGGAGAGGAAAGTTTTCACGAGTATATAAGAAAGATTTTGCAAAAGATAAGGAATTTAAATGATGTATAGGAATAGGCCATGTGGAAGGGAAATCTAGGCTCACAGGTCACTGTACTTGTACAGTGTTTAACAAGTATATAACCATACATACACAAGGAAAAAATGGTGTATTAAGTGATTGTGAGAAGTTTTGTATGACTGCATTGCATTGTAAGGTTGTATGGAAACGCTTTCCTGAGTTCCCTAAACTATTACCAGTATTACAAACATGTTCTATATATGAGTTTGTATATGATCATGTTTGTTTTTGTGTATATGTTTCTCTTTTGCATCTATCTTCATGTGTGAGAGAAAACATGAGGCCTTTGTGTTTCTGAGCCTGGCTTACTTAACTTGATGTCTTCCAATTCCATCCATTTGCCTTCAAACCACATCATTATTCCTTATGGCTGAGTAAAAATTGTGTATAATTACCACATTCTTGATCCATTCATCAATTGTAGTGCATCTGGTTGTTTCCAAAGCTTGGCAGTTGTGAATAGTGCTGTGATGAACATTGGTGTACTGGTGTCTCTATTGTATCCTTACTTAGGTTCCTTTTGGTAGATGCCCAGGAGTGGTATCACTGGATCATATAGCAGTTCTATCTTTAGCTTTTTGAGGAATCTCCATACTGCTTTCCATAATGGTTGTGCTAATTTGCATTCTCCACCAGCAGTGTATAAGGATTCCTGTTTCGACGCATCCTCACCAGCATTTATTGTTATTCCCTTGACTGTGGCCATTCTAACTGGGGTGAGATGAAATCTAAGTGTTGTTTTGATTTGCATCTCTTACAGCCAGGGAAGTCGAACACTTCTTCATGTATTTACTGTACCTCTTCCTTGGAGAATTCCCTGTTTATTTCATGTGCCAATTTCTTCATTGGGATATTGATTCTTTGGGTTGAATTTTTAAAGTTTCCTATAGATTCTGGATATTAGTCCCTTATTGGATGAATAGCTGGCAAAGATTTCTCCCATTCTGTGCAAAACTTCGAGTCTAGAGACTGTTCCTTTTGCTCTACAGAAACTTTTTGGTTTGATGCAGTCCCATTTGTTCATTCTTTCTCTTAGATGTTGAGCCTTTTGAGTTATGCTTAGGACGTTGTTCCCTATGCCTATCTGTTCCAGTGTATTTCCTACTACTACTTCCTGTAGTTGTTTCAAATTTCAGGCCTTGTATTAAGGTCTTTGATCCACTTTGAGTCTCAAACCTGGGGTGAGAGGCAGGGATCTAGTTTCAGTCTTCTACATATGGATATCCAGTTTTCCCAGAAACATTTGTTAAAGAGGCTGTCTTTTTTCCATCTTGTGTTTTGGGTTTCTTTGTCAAAGATAAGTTGGTTGTAGCTGTGTGGGTTTATGTCTGAGTCTTCTATTCTAATCCATTGGTCTTCCTGTCAGTTTTTGTGCCAATACCATGCTGTTTTTATTGTTATGGCTCTGCAGTATAGTTGAAGTTGGGTATTGTGATACCTTCAGCGTTGGACTTTTTATTCAGAATTGTTTTGGCTATTTGAGGTCTTTTGTGTTTCCATATGTACTTTAGGATTGGTTTTTCTGTCTCTGTGAAGAATGTCATTGGAATTTTGATGGGGATTGCATTGAACATGTAGATTGTTTTTGGTAGTATTGCCATTTTCACAATGTTGATTCTACCAATCCACAAGCATGGGAGATTTTTCCATCTTCTGATGTCTTCTTTGATTTCTCTCTTCAGTGGTTTATAGTTTTCATTAAAAAGGTCTTTGGTTTCCTTTGTGAAATTTATTCCAAGGTACTTTATTATTTTTGAGGCTATTGTAAATGGTATTGTTTCCTTGACTTCTTTCTCAGTCCATTCATTGTTGGTATATAGAAAAGCTACTGATTTCTGAACGTTAATTTTGTATCCTGCTACATTGCCAAAGGAGTTTATGATTTCTAACAGTTTTTTGAAAGAGTTTTTTGGTAGAGTTTTTAGGGTCTTGTAGGTATAGGATCATGTCATCTGCAAATAGGGATATTTTGACTTCTTTCTCCCCTGTTTGAATCCCTTTAATTTCTTGCTCTTGTCTTATTGCTCTGGCTAGGAATTCCAAAACTTTATTGAATAGGAGTGGAGAAAGTGGGCATCCCTGTCTCTTTCCAGTTCAGAGCTTTTTTTGAGAAAGGGTTTCACTATGTAGTCCAAGCTGCCCTCAAACTCATGATCTTTCTGCCTCTGAGTACTGGGACTATAGACATGTGACACCATGGCTGACACTGCAAGACTTGGTCCTCTACATGAGCATTTTGCTTTATTTGTAAATTTATGTAAAGAACAAAAAAGAAGAGTCATTACTTTCTAAAGGTGCTTATTAAATGTTAGTGTCTTTGAACCATTACTTGTTTTCATAGCCCTCATACTTTATAAGTGGATTCATATCCACTATCTCATTTAAGCCTCAGAAGAACATTAAAAAGAACACAGGGTATTAAGAAAAACATTCTCCTTTTGCAGAAGACAATATTGATGACTGCAGTTTATCCAATATTGTGTAGCATGTAAGTGACAGGATCTGATGTGCTTGTGGTCTTATGCCTTCAAACCATGTTCTTTGCTGAGAATAAAAGCTTCCTACACAAATAACTATATCTATTAAACTCTTTGTTAATACACCTAATTCTCATGGCTATCCACTGAAAGATAGTTATGTTTACCCATTCTTTTCACATCACAGTTTAAAATCAACCTAAAATGTGATTTAAACCCTGATTGTAATACTGATGTTAAAGAGCCAGAGATAGTCTCTGTACTAAGAAATTTTTGTCACTTTGAAATAGATCTTATTCTTTTTTCATGGGAGAGGTCATATGCATTTTCTGTTTTATAGATCAGTATATACTCTAGCATATCCACCTGGGGTAATTAGAGGTTCCTAATGAAATATGTGTTGGTATGTGTCCAGATTTCATCATAAATTGCCACTTAGCTTTTCTCCTAATCTTACAGGTTTTGAATAAATAGAAATAATAACAATTTCCATACTCTGATACTTATATTACTGTGTCTTTCATTTATCTTCCCTTATTGAATATATCAGGTGTTATTTAACCTGTACTGTGCAGATGAATAAACTGAGGCACAGAAAAGCCTAGTAATATGCTAGGAAGAGCCCAAGCCAAAATCCTTTGTTATGAATGTTTAAGCAGCTGTACTGTGTTATCAGTCATTACAATGTAATTATCTTAAATTCCTTGTACAAGTTGTTTAATATCTTGAGACTTGGTGTTGTGATCTTTCAGGTTTCACTGTATTACCACTTCTATCAACCTAAAATTTATGTTTGTCTGAATCTTTTTATAGTTCTATTCTCTAAGTTACATATGTTTGATTGAATTATATTGTACTCATCATCCCCATTTTCATCCACTACTCTTATTAACAAATCCATGTGGGTTTGTTTTAATGTTTTAAGCATCAATCATTTTAACTTTTTACTAGAGTTAGGAATTTCTCGAGTTCAGCCCAAACATCTTTTTCAGATTTGCCACTGACTGTTCTAAGTTACACTGCCGTTTTAAACTTAGGTGTTTGGGTTCTCCTTGTAGGTGTTGACAGCTCTTCTACCACAAGCAGTGCTTCACCTTTGCCCAACAGTTACGATGCCCTGGAAGGAGGCAGCTATCCAGGTAACTGTTTTGTACTTGACCATGTTCACTTTAAAAGTTACTGACCGTCAATTGCTTTCAAAACAACATAATTGGCAATAAAAAGCAATGTAATTAGCAGACTTTTTTTTAACAGAAAAAAGGGGCAGTTTTCTGACTGTCCCTTTCTCAGCCTTAATTTATTAGTGCTAATTGTCATGACAATTGTGAATATTGTTTCTGGGAAGAAATTTATTTTTATTAAATTTTTAGTCTTTTCCCTCTTTTTAAAAAACACTTAATAGTGAATAACTTTTTTCTTTCCCCTTTAAAAAAATAACTCTTGTTCTTATGCTTATGTCCTTAAATTCCTTCCACCTAGTCTCTGACTGTAAAGCATCTTTGATTCTTTACTCCCCCTATGGCTCCTCGGTGCCTCTACTAGGTAAAAGATAGCCACTTGGAGTAGATTTTGGAGGCATCACTTTTAACTGTATCTGGAAATAACTTTAGTTATTGAAGAGTAGTAAAAGAAAAATCAGTAAACTCTTTTAATTAATAGTCATTTCACAGTATCTTACACTGTGATTTTCCTTATTCTCCTGTCTCAGCACTGACAGTTTAACAATCACTTAATACTACCCCCAATGGTTTCAAACTTAAGGACCTACAGAACAAATAGTTTTGTCCTTATCTTTGTTTTTTATCACTTTGATAATAAATGTAGAATGAAGCTTCACTGATGTTGAAATATGCTCTACTTACTTAACCACACACTACCTGCTGTTACCAAACTATGAATCAATAGAGAACCTTAATCCTCTCGATTCTCTGCAAAATTCTCTCATGAAGGATACTTGAATAACCTACTGAGCCTTTTGTGGTTAATCATTTTTTCCCTAGGAACAAGTGGGTGTATATGTGCATGTGTGTGTAAAAGAAGTTATAAACCATTTCAGAAGCAATCACTATTATTAAACTATTACAGGAGAATTATTTCATTCACTAAAAAGATGAATAAAACTATTTCACATTTCACAAGCTCTGAATTAATCTGAAATGTCTTTTGTGGTGTAGTGAAAAGTTCATGGCTTTAGAGTCAGACATTGATTTGTTTTTCTGTATTTAGTCAACAGATTTTAATCTTATAATGAACTGTCCTTTGACAGTGGGTCAGTGACCTTTGGCAAGTTTTCTTGCTATTCATGCTACACTAAATTAAGGAAATTAGTAAACATCTGAAGCAGTATAGTGAATGAATTGAAGGTCCATTATGTGTCTGGTACTAGGATAGATTTTAGGATTATACAAATGTGTGAAATGCTATCCTTTCCTAAAGAAGGAGAGACTATTTAGATCTCCTTATTTATGACTATAATTTTTTATTTCTTATTTGCTGACTGTTATTATGTTAAAAGATCCTTCTACCTATATTCCCATCACCATAAGGGGCAAGCAGGAAATCTAAGAACTGTGGACTGCATTAAAGCTCTTATCCTTATAAGAAGTCTGGGAGCCAGCAAGCTGATCTTTGTGTTACCAGCACAAAGGTGATAGCAGAATGTCTAGAAATGTGTCTTCAAAATTAGGATCAATAGATTCAGTAGAATGATGAGATTCCTGAGGAAACTTTAAAAAAAAAAACCATACACACAGAGTTTATTAAGTCAGAAATTTTTCAGAACATATTTCAAAGTCTTATTAATGGTGAAGAATATCATTTTACATGAAAAAATGATTATATGTTATGGAGTTGGCTGTATATCAAAATGTTGATGATAATGGTTGTACAGTAATTTTTATAGTTCCTTTTTGTTGTTGTTCTTATATATGATGTATAAATTTTCCGCAGTTATTTTTCATAGTTTTAGTAAAATTTTAGTTTTAGTTTTAAATTTAAATGAAAAAAAAGCATTTATTCATTAAATTTAATTTGGCCTCTGTTATATACTAGATATTGTTCTGGGAGCTGGATACTATTCTAGACATTATCTTTCATACTCTACTCACATTGTGAAACTAATACAGACTTACAGGTTGACTTTTGGAAGTGTGCTAGTCCTTACATGGACTTTTTACATAGTTGGTAGGATCAGGTCAGTCAAATTAGAGAAAAGAGTAATGTAGACTCTGGACTTTTAAGACAGGGCTTTGCTGTGAGGCCCAGGATGGCCTGGAACCCCCTGTTTAGCCCATCCTCCAACTCATGATCTTCCTGCCTCTGTCTCCTTAGTGCTAGGATCACAGACGTGCCCTACATGTCAGCTTTGATACTCTTCTTACTGCTTTACTTTGTTTTCTGCTTCTTAGCCCCAGTCTTGAGAGAATTAAAAAACAAACAAAAAACCCTACTATATTAGCTCTTTGTTACAAGTACCACCTAAAGAATTTGTTGATAAAATGATTCACAACATGGAACAATAGTAAAATGACTAGCAAAGTAGTGATAATTATTGAACTGGGTATTGGACTTGTGGGTTCATTATTTTATTCTCTTCACTATGTGTATATTCAAAATTTGTCATAGTAAAATTTTTGAAAAGAAAAGGGATATGCAAAGGTTATCACTTTCCCAGTAGTCAAGTCTTTATAGCATCCTGAGTTTTGGTTGTAAACAACATGTTTTCCCTTGTTAGATATGCATTCTTCATCAGCAAGCAGTCCTGCTCCTGATCCTGCCTCTGAACCTGATCCTGCTCCAGCTCCAGCTCCTGCTACTGCTTCTCAGCCATCAAAAATGGCTAAGCCTTTTGGCTATGGGTATCCCACTCTTCAGCCTGGTTATCAGAATGCAGCAGCACCACTCAATTCTGGAACACATCCCAGTAGCCCGGCGTATTCTGGATTCCAGCAGTATCCTCAAGTATGTGTTCTGTCATGTGAAGACATGGTATTTCTGAAAATTGTAAAACCAATTCTAACAAATTCCTAGTGAACAAATTTTTAGAGGTTAAATCTAGATCAAGAGATTATCTGTGATTATTCTCTTCATTGTATCTTTACTTTTCAATGTGCAGTGCACTAAAACTAATTTTATAATCAGGAAATTAAATGCTAAATTTTCAAAAATTCTGTATAGCTAAGCTGGCATTCTCAGATGATGACACAGTCAGATGTGGCTAGGATTTATTTCAGTCCCTGTTCTTCACTTGAAGAGCTCTCCTGTGACACAAACGTGACCTGGTGAGAGCCTCCATGTGTGTGAAAGTGCTTGCCAGCTGTTGCCAGGGCCATTCCGATGCGACTTTTTCTGAAGCCACCTCTTAAAGATCAAATCAGTTTAATCTTACACAGAACAGTAAATGTTTCACATTTTTATTTATTGAGAGGAAAATAAATAACAGGGAAATGATTGAAATAGTAAAAGTGTTTCTACTTAAACTGTCCTTAATAGAAATTTCGTTCTGTGCTAAATTTAAGAATGAAGATTAGAGAAAAACAGAAAAAGTTCCAAGATTGATACTTGGAAGTGTCAAACAAGGAAAAAAAAATTAGCAGTAATAAATGGTGTTCTTTAATGACTTAGGACAACACCTAGCAAACTGTGGCTCTTTGGCCAACTCTGACCCACTGCCTATTTTGTAAATAATACTTTATAGAACGCAGCTACAACTATGTGCTCATTCTTTTATGTTGTTGTCTGTGGTAGAGTTGAGTACTTGAAAAACAGACATATGGCTGTGAAACCTTTTCTTTTTCCCCCCTTTTCTTGATGGAGGTTTGAATTTAGGGCTTTGTGCTTGCTAGCCAAGTACTTTATCACTTGAGCCACAGCCACAGCCCTTCTTGCTTTAGATTGTTTTTCAGATTTTGTCTGGGCTGGTGTTGGACTGTGATCCTCCTACCTATGTTGCCTGCCCAACTGTGATTACCATCTGTAATCACAGATGTTTGTTGAGATGGAGTCTTGATAACATTTTTTGCCCATACTGGCCTTGAACTGCATTCCTCCTGATGTCCACCTGAGTATCTTGGTTTACAGGAATGAGCCTCCACTCCCAGCTCTCAAAGCTTCAGAAGAGTTTAAAGAGATTATCTTTTGAATAAAAATTAAAAATTAATGTTTAATATGTCAAAATTTTTAATCTAATTTTTGATCACAGTACTTTTTATCCAAGGTATAGTACAGGGACTACAAGAGTTTGGATAAAAGAGATAGACTGAAAGTAACTTGGCTTATTAATCACAGGTGAAATGAGTATCAGAAAGCCAAAGCATTGAGAAAGTAGGCTGTTAAAGGACCACTCTCACCTTTAACTTTTAAAACTTTTTATTGAAATCTAATCTAGATCATGTAAAAGTACCCACATCAGCAGACATTTTGATGAATTTGTACAGATTGAGCACACTCACTTTTTTTTTGTTTGTTTTGGTAGTGCTGGGGTTCGAACTCAGGGCCTCATATTTGCTAGGCAAGCACTTTACCACTTGAGCTACTTCACCAGCCCTGAGCACGCTCACTTAACCAACAACCAGAAGCATCTCTGAGGCCTCTTTTAGTCATTAATTCTCCAAACAAGAGTAACCACTGTCTTGGTGGGGGTGTGACTCAAGTGCTAGAGCACCTGCCTAGCAAGTGCCAAGCCCTGAGTTCAAACTCCAGTAGCACAAAAAAAAAAAAAGGAGTAGCCACTGTCTTAACTAATAATATCACAGATTAGTTTTGCCTATTTGTTAAACTTTCTGTATACCATATGTACTGCTGTGTCTAGATTGTTTTGTTCAGCATTGTACTTATAGTAGGTAGTGTTGCATAGCACTCCATTCTTTGAGCATACCAGTTTATTTTATTATTGATGGGCATTGGGGGTAAATTTGCAGTTTGGGGCAAATTAGGAGTAGATTTTCTATTCAACCTTAGTAGTTACTGCTGAACGTTTTCCAGAGCCAATATTCTAATTTAAGCCTCATTAGCAGCGTGAGTTCCAGTTACTTCATGTTCTTTTCAAAACTTGAAATTTTGACCTTTTTTTAAAGTTGAATAGTCACCTTCCTTTCATTTTGGAAGTGAGGAAATTGAGTCATAAAAGTCAAATCACCTTTCAAAGACCAGGCCTGGCTCTGATGCTGCAAATACCTTGCAATTCAAAACTAAGCACTCTTTTTCTCTCCTTAACTAGTGGGGATTTTGCAATAGAAAGTCAAATCTAGATAATCTATCCCTCCAAAGGAAATTACAAAACAGTGTTTTATTTTTGTACAGTCTGAATTTAAAATAGCTTTTGGACACTACTGTTTCAGGGCTAGTAGAAGAGCTATGATTTAAGCAGACTGCTAGGACCTGCATGTTTATTTTTACCTATGTGTTTAGAGAGATTGTTGCTTTTCATCTAAGATTAACAATATCAAACTGATTTTTGAAGAGGCAATTGATTTTTGAAGTGCTAGTTAGAAGGATAAAGATATCGTACCTTAACTTTAAGCAGCCTTCTGTAAAACTGTTGAAATGCTTTAAACATTGTATGTTGTTCAACGTTGGTGGATTGTTCTGAAATATAAGGGCTTTCTTTGTAGCGATTTAATTTGATATTATTTAAGTAGTGGGAAGCACCAAAAGTTGGTCTTTGAAGAAGGAAAAAAAAAATTTCAGATTTCTTTTTCAAGATTGAAAGTAGGGCTGGTGGAGTAGCTCATGTGGTAGAGTCCTTGCCTTGCAAGCATGAGGCCCTGAGTTCAAACCTCAGTACCATAAAAACAACAAAAAAAGATTGAAAGTCAAAAAAAATGTAGATATGTAAGAACAAAAATTAAAAGTAGAAACATATTTTTACTAAATATGTGGAAAACCTGACACTAATGTTATGTAGCTTAAAGAAGCCTTGGTGCATGATAATTATAGAAAATATAGATAAATTAAAGGCTGGAAGTATCAACCAGTATTCCTTCTGTCAAGAAATAAACAGCAATACTTTGGAGTCTGTCCTTGCTTTGCATCTTGAAGGAAAAGCCAGTATGGAAACCAATCATCCAGGTGACTTATTTAAACAAAATAAGTTTAAATATGGATATTGCTTTGGTAATTTTTAATTTCATTAACAGTATAAGAAGAAACCTTTCTGTATTGCTGTATGTTCATTATTTTGACAGCTATATGTCTTATAGTCAACCATTCTTCCAGTTTGTGGGCATAAATTAATGCCAAAAAAAGCATGAGCATACACACACACACATATACACACACACACACACTCACTCCCCTTTGCTCATTTTTTTCATTATTTCCTTAGGTGACATTTCTGTAAATAGAATTAGTAATAGAGCACCTAATTTAATAATATTAGAATTTGTCTATACTTAATGAACATTTATTGAGTTCTTGCTACGTGGCAGCACTGTTCCAGGCAAGCAAGGCCAAGGTGACAGTACATTTCTGAGATAATCCAAATAGTTAAAAGTAGAATAAATAAGACAATTGAAAAAACTTGTGGGGTAGAAATATGGAGTAAGTGATCAGAGAAGCCCTCATTATAAAAGTTATGCTTCAGTTAAGATCTGAAAGACAAAACAAGACTGGCATGGAAAAATCCTTAAGACCAAGGACTTAAGGAGCAAAGAGGAAGTTTGATGTGTTCCAGGGATAAAGTGACAGTGTGACTGAACTCGGTTAGCAGTGGGAAAGGTAGTAGGGTTAAATTAGATCAGAGAGCTAGAGAAGGACCATAGAGAAGCTTTCATCTTACCCCAAGTGCAAGGAGCAGACATTGGAGATGTAATATAATGGGATGTCATCTAAGTTACATTTTAGAGAATTATTTTGGATGCTATGTGAAGAATTGATTACATATTCGAATGTTTGAAAGTACAATTAGGGAAGGGCTGAGGGTGTGGCTCAAGTGGTAGAGTGCCTGTCTACGAAGGGCAAGGCCCTCAGTCCAAACTACAGTACTGCCAAAAAAAGAAAATTGAAAAGAAAAATAGAAGCAGGGAGACAAACAGAAACTTTTCCATAATATAGGAAGTAGATGGTTGTGCCTCATAATGAGGTGGTTTCAGCAGTGGTAGTGGAAAGTGGGTAGAAAGGCTGAGTTGACATGCTGATGGATTGGATGTGGTGGATGAGAGAAAGGAATACATATAGAACGACTCCTAGTTTTTTGGTACAACGATGGGTGGAGGTTAAAGGGAGGAGTAGGGATAGGAATCAGGTTGACCATATTAAGTTAAAATGCCCAATAGTAACCCAGAAGTCAAGTTGATCAGTGGTTGGTGATCAGTTGTGGAGAAGTAACTTACCAAGTGGAAGCGTATATGACTGCCCACTTCTCTATATAACTAAGTACACCCAGATTATATTACATGTGTATATGTGCTGCTGAAGCAAGCATGCAAGAATTATTTTGTATAAGCAGAGATTTTTTTTATAATCATTACTCATTGTGTTCTTTTACTGAAATTCCTGCTCATATTCTTCTATCATTGTTCTCTATAATCTGTAATAAGGGTAAACCTTTTTCTAATATTTATGATAATTTTTTTTACCATCTTGACATTTAATTTTAATGGTATTCTTTGGAGAAATGTTTAAACTTTTTTTTATTGGTGGCACTGAGGTTTGAACTCAGGACCTCATGCTTGCTAGGCAGACACTCTTACTGCTTGTGCCACTCCACAAGCCTGGAAAAATGTTTAAATTTTGTATAGTCATGTTATAGTTTCTTCTTACCCTCGTGTCCTTTAATAAGTATTGTCAACCTTAAATTAAGAAAATATTCCATATATTTCTTTTTAGTTCTTTGATGATTTCAGTTTTGCATCTTTAATCCATCTAAATTTTATTTATAGGAAATATCAAATGGTTAGGCTTTAGTTCATTGTCACTTATTAGGTAATCTTATCTTTTGTCCCTAATCGAATATCCCAAATTTTTATCAACTTGCATTTGTTTTGGGGTTTTCCATTTCATGTGATTGACCCATGTGATCATTTTCCCTTCTTCCTTTAGAGTTCTACTGAAAACTTTTAATTTTCTTATTTTTTTATTTTTTGGTGGTGGTACTGGGGTTTGAACTCAGGGCTTCATACTTACGAGGCAGGAAAACTTTTTATTATCTGGTTGTTTTTTCCTTGATCTCACCAGCTTCAATTACCGTCAACATTTTGCTATGCTTGTTTCATCATCTATCTCCCCACTTCCTTTTGTTGCTGAGGATTTTGAAGCTAATTAGGGTCAGGGACATTTCTTGAAACACAAAACCAAAATATCACCATATCATAGCCAACAAAACCAATAATTGCCAAGTGTCATTAAAAACTGTGCATGTCCAGATTTCCCCAATTATTTTAGAAATGTCTTTTTATACTCGGTTTATACAAATGAGTATCCAAGAATTACTTACTAATTATATTTATGTATCATAATTCTCAATGTAAAACAAACCTTCACTAGCCAGGTACCAGTTGCTCATGCCTACTCCTAACTACTCAGGAGGCAGAGATCAGGAGGATTGTAGTTTGAAGCCAGCCCCAGGCAAATAGTTCTTGAGACCCTATCTCAAAAAAACCTACCACAAAAAAGGGCTGGCAAGGTGGCTTAAGTGGTAGAACATCTCCCTAGCAAGTGTGAGGCCCTGAGTTCAAACCCCAGTGCTGCCAAAAAAAAGAAAAACCTTCACTCCTTTCTTTTTTTTTTCAAACCTTTGATCGAATGGTAAAACTGGGCCTATTATCGTACAGAATGTCTCACATTCTGAATGTGGTTCATGGCTTCCTTGTGTTATTTAACTTGCAATTAAATAATAGTTTCGATTTCTATAGATTGGAAATTAAATCTCATGGCTTGGTTATATTCAGGTTTATTACTTCATGTGTTTATTTACATAGGCCAAATTATGATCTATTCTGGTGATGGTATCTCATAATGATAGCTGATTGTCTCACTGATGAGTGATGAGATTGTCTCATTGATGAGCAGTTCATTGATGAATGGTTCATGTGGTGAACTCCTGATCAGTTTGTCTTAAATTTTCTCTTTAAGTTTTTACCTAGTGGCTTTATCATCTATTCCAGATGACCATAACCTGAATTCTTTATTTCAGAATGAGTGGAAAAATAGTGATTTTCATGAAATTATTATAAATGAAAGACTAATAAAATAGTTAACCATAGGTCAAAAGTGAAGTAAAATATCTCTGAATATACTTTATTGAAAAGTTTTAACATTAAAATTAACATAAATGCTATGTTTAAACAAAAAAATATTAAACCAAAAAGATAAAGAGCAATCCTTAAAGATTAAGAACAAAACAAATGAATCTGTTTCTTGGTACATTCTGATACTGACAAAATATTGTTCTAGCTGACTTAAAACCCAGTACTTTTTACCTCTTGGGGGCATGTATCTAAAGACAAAAAAAGAACTACAAAAACCATGCATTTAATTTCATAATTTTACATTTATAGTTAGGGGTGTTATTTGAAATGAAATATATTATAGAATAAAACAAATGCACCCATCCATGGGTTGAAAATACTTAAGGAAAAAATTGCATTTATACTGAACATATATGGACTTTTTTTCTTGTCATTATTCCCTGAATGATACAGCATAACTACGTACATAGCATTTTATTGTATTAAGTTCTATAAGTAATCTATAGATGATTTAAAGTATATAGGAGGATCTGTGTAAGTGATGTACAAATGTTGTCCCATTCCGTACATGGAATTGGAGCATCTGCAGATCCACGAGGTCTAATCCACTATGGGTACTGAAGGACAGTTATCAGGCTGTTACCATTAGAGTCGAAATACTCAGCAAATGACAAGAGAGATGCAGGTGTAGCATCCAAGTAAAACTATTGTCCTTGTGCTAATTGGAAAATCAGTACTAACTCATTTTTTCCTTTCATTCAGTGTATGTGTTGTATTTCTACCTATTCTAAAAGCCAGAAAGTAGTAACAGCACACTAGCAATGAGCACCCTTATCACCAAAGATTTTGGTTTCTAGATACCATCTTTATTTAAAAGGAGCAAAAATTCCTTCTTGGATAAATTACTGGTTCTAGTTCTAGGGGAAGAAGGGTACAAAATACCATGCCAGAAAGGCCAAATAGGGTCACATTATAAAGTCACTGGGAGCTGGGGTTGTAGCTCAGGAGTAGAGCACTTGCTTAGCTAGCATGCCCCAGGCCTTGGGTTCAATCCCTAGCACTGCACAATAAACAAGTAAATAACAAAATTAAATTGCACAGGGGTCACCTTGAATGGACTCTTACCAGGCAACGATTGAATGTTTCAACATCAAATAAGTAGTGGTAGTAATTCATTAAACCTGTTCAGTTTAAAAAAGAAAAATCCATGAATGCATAGTTATAGTAAAGTATAACCTAGGGAACCAAAAAAATAAGTAAAGCAAAATTCACTGAACATCACTATGCGTTTCTTAGGCATCAAGTCATTAGTCTGGAAATTGATAGCTGATAAAATTTGAAAGTAATTAAGCACTTATCCTGCCTTTGGAGTATGAACTATATATATTCAAGGAAACCATGTTCTTGATGATAAACAGTATTGTTGCTGACATTTTGTTGTTAGATTTAACCTTACTAATAAGATGTAAATTTATTCAGTATTTTTGCTGGTTTTTCAAGTATGCTTTTAAGTTGACTGCTGTGTTACTAAGCAAAATTTAAATGTTCTTACTATACTGATTTTACTTTATATTGAAATTCTCTATCTAGTATAGAAAATTGTATTCACATTTGTTATTGAGATTTTGTTTTGACTTATTTTGAATTTCCCTTTCAGCAATACTCTGGTGTGAACCAGCTATCTTCCAGTCTAGGAGGATTGAGTCTTCAGAGTTCTCCCCAACCGGAAAGCCTGAGACCTGTCAACCTCACTCAGGAGAGGAATATTTTACCCATGACTCCGGTTTGGGCTCCTGTACCTAACTTGAATTTAGAACTCAAAAAGTTAAACTGTAGCCCAGAGTAGGTATTCAGTTATTTTGGAATCTTTCTTAAGTAATGTACTTTGATGAAAATATTGTATGTATTTCAAAAATAGTGAAAGTGGGCTAGTAGAATGGCTCAAGTGGTAGAGCATCTGCGTAGCAAGCATGAATGCCCTGAGTTCACACCCCACTATCATGACCTACCGCCCACCAAAAAAAAAAAAAAGCCTGGTTTACACCTGGAATTCTAGCTACTTTGGAGGCTGAGATCAGGAGGATCTCAGTTCAAGGCCAGCTCAGGCAAATAGTTTGTGAGACCCTGTCTCACAAAATAACCAGTGTAAAATGGACTGGAGGCATGACTCAAGCAGTAGAGCACCTGCTTTGCAAGTGTGAAGCCCTGAGTTCAAACCCCAGTCCCACTAAAAACAAACAAACAAAAAGGTAAAATAATATGGATTAATTTCTATTGGAGCTTTTGTTTATGTAGATGTTTCTATTTCAGTTTGTATACAAGTAGCTGTAATATTCAGTTTAGATTATCTGTCTCTCTTCCCATCTTCATCCCAACCCTGTTCCATTCCTCTATCACCTAATGCTAAAGAGATTATTTCTCTTTGAATGAAGGGTTTTAAGAACCCAGACCTAACTATAATTTTTCATTTTTAAAATATCTTTTTCCTCACCTTTTTACCAATACTAACTTCTTAAATCTTTTAAGTAAGATTAGATGCCTGTTGTTTATTACCTTCCTTAGGCGTTGCTTAAAAAAAGACAAACAGCACTTACATAAACCCAAGAATAGGTTTAGATAGTTTCTCTGGATTTTCTTTCCCCACTGAGTATAGAATGTGAACTTCATTAACCCCCAAGTTGTACATCCAGCCTGAATTTAGACTTTTGAGAATTTTCTCACCTGCTAGAGACACATATCTGTCAGACTGCATCTGGTGCCGCCAAGCCCTGGTGCAGTTCTGTACTTATCTCACAGAGGTGTTCTTTGCTCTTATGCTCTTATGCACTCAGTACCTTTCTGTCCTAAGAATAAGTTATACCTCTGTGCTCACATGCTTTCTGTTAGACCTTGTCCTCTTGGAGTTTCTTTTTCTCACAAAGTAAACTCTGATTCTCGGAACATGATCTTCTTCCTTGCATTAGGAAAATTAGTACTCTTCTTTAGAGTCAATGTTTTCTTAAGGCTTCCAGCTTTTGGATCTATCTTTTGGAGGGAAACCTGAAAACGCCTCCTTTTTGATCAAAATCTTAAATGGAGTGCAAATACAGAATGTAGGAAGTGAAACTTCTTTGAGCATTTCCCTTCTTCCACCACACTACCATCAACACCCACCCATCAGTAACTAAGGAAAGGACATGTCTGTAATCCCAGCACTCAGGTATATAATACAGTGTCAGAGTATTACTGTGAAGAAAAGTAAATTGGAGTAGGGAATGAGAGTAGAGGGTGACTATTTTTGGTTGAGTCTGTACAGGTTTTTCCAAGGAATTAGCATTTGAGTAGACATCTGAATGAAGTGAGAGAACAGCACTCAGCCTGGAGTAAATAGATCCCCTATGCCCCTTTAAGAGACATAGGTTAACCCTGCCTCTGAAAACATCTTTCTTCATTCCCAGTGCTTCTGCTTGTTAGTGCTTTACCTTCTCCTTTATTGATTCTTTCTCCTTTGACCTTAACTTACAACTTCATAAGTTGTGAGCGCTCACTATGAGAGAAACCGTGTTAGGAAGACTCAGGAACAAGATGATCTCTGTCCTCAAGGGAACAGGCAGACAAGGTACTCAGCTGACCAAAGCAAATCAGACTGATGTATAGCACAGAAGCATAAACATACCTCAGAGCTCAGAGAGATAAGTATTCCTTGTGATGTGGGGAGTCAGGAGGTGAGGAGGCTTCCAAAAAGGGATGACTTTTTTGATGAGTCCTGTGTGAAGACTGGGAGCTCAGTGGGTAAAAAGGGGGCAGGAAGGCAGGAGCAGCATGATTAGAGGCAAAAGAAGTATGCCTGTCACTCATGTGTTCTACTGCCTGCGGTTCATGTCCCACAGGCTACTCATAATGGAGTCATTGTTTTTCCTGAGTGTGTTGTACTTTTCCATCACAAAATCATGGAGTCCTTGATTTAGGTCTTTTGACATCTCTTACATGTATGCCTGATGCAAGTAATTAGGACCTTCCTGCTTAAAGTTACAATAACATGCCAAAATGATTTTCACTTGTCAGATGTTCTTAATTGTTCTAACTCAGTGTATTTATTCTGATAGCTAATGTATTCTGTGTTTGTGTTTTTTTGCAGTTCGTTTCGATGTACTTTGACAAATATTCCACAGACACAGGCTTTACTGAATAAAGCTAAGCTTCCTTTAGGATTGTTGTTACATCCCTTTAGAGACCTAACGGTAAAGTAACATTTTAAAATATTTTGGGTACTGATGTGCTTATGTGCAAGGTTTTATGTCTTCTAGAATTTTTTTCTTTTATTTATTTTTTGCGGTGCTGATGATCAAAAAAGTTCATCTTGTTTTATTTGGAACCTAAGCATTTCTGTGAAATTCAAGTCAGCAGACATTTTCTGAGCATCTGGTAGTAGGCCCTGACTTATGCACTGGTAGTACAAGATGATTAAAATGTAAAAACAATTATATGCAGGATAATTAATACATGTAATTAGTAAGATCTGGATACAGTAGCAGAAGTTTTCTATAAGTGATAACGTCTGAGGCTCCTTTTGGAAGATTAGCAGTTGGAACAACCCTAGCAGATGTATAAACTTTAGGAGTCCTTTATTAAACAATGATGCAGGGAAAATTGTCCGATTGTTCCAAGTTAAATAACCTTTGTAACAGTAGAGAAAGTCTGAATTCAAGACTGTTGAATTAAAACATTCTTAAATTGTATATTATTTATTTGGTTTAATACCTAGTTTGCTAGATTTTTACACATCCTTCGGGCATTTCTTGTAGATATGTTGTATTTAAACTACTTTTTTTTTAATTTCAGAAAAACAGTTTTATTCATGCTCCATAAGTTGCTTTCCTTTCTCATACTTTTTTACTACTTTTGTTTTCTACCCCTCCTGTTGCTACAGCTTTCGTTCTCAGTCATCCAAAAATATTTATTGCCAAGCTCTCATGTGAGATGCTAAGACACAGAGGTCATTAAGCTTCCTAATAGAGTTTACTTCCCCTACTGGGATGTATATTGAAAGGATCAAAGGGAATAGAAAATAAAATAATTATAATATGCTATAAGTACCATATATTCCTTCAGTAGATACTGTTTAGTCACCTGTAATACAATAACAACCTTTAACTTTAATTAAGACAGTTACTGTTCTGTATCTATAGGTGAGAGTTTTTCTACAGATTCCATAAATGATACCTTCTGGAAATATATGCACTGCAAACAGATGCACTCTGGAATTAGATTTTTTTTTTTTTTTTGCTGTACTGGAGTTTGAGCTCAGGACCTTACGCTTGCTAGGCAGGCGTTCTGCCACTTGAGCCACACTGCCAGACCTTACATTTTTTTTTTTTAAGGTATATTCCTTGTATGGGGGGGATTCATTGTTTCAATTCCAAATAGGATTATATTGTACATTGGTGAAATCACCCCACCATCTTTTCCCATGAGGAATAGAATCCTGAGGAAATTTGTATTTTTTCATTTTTAGTTAATTACATTTCCTGATGTAGTTCCTTGTGTAATAAAAATAGCATATGTGGATAAAATTAAACCCAAAGATAATGTTAATGTGTAGAATTTTTAAAACTAAAAAGAAGTACACTAAAATGGTAACTGGCTAATTCAAAGATATAGAATAATATATGACCTCTTAATCTTTTTTCATACTTAAATTTTTTTTCTACCTTGAATAGAGATGTATTTTTTCAAAGGCACATTGTGTTTGACTCAGATCCCATGGGGACTGCTATTGTTGTCTGTCAGCACGTGATAGCCTAGTACCTGGTACAGTCAGCACAGACAAGGCATTCTTCTGTGCTGTATGGGTCGCTCTCACTGTTGTCTCTTGAGTCTAGTTGATGAACTCTAGCTTACCTTATTTTCTTGGCCAACCATGCTTTCTTGTCAGCTAGTGACTTTTCTTAGATTTTATGTGACTTTGTTGTGTTGTCTTAAACTTTGTGACAAAAGAGGAAGAAAACTTGATAGCTGCTTGTGTTGCTCAGCACTTCACTGGATTTAATTAGTACGTTTCGATATAAAACCACACGGAAATACATCTATGGTTTCTTTTCTGTTTTTCCCTGAGATTCCTTTTATTGTTACAACGTATTTATTTTCTTTCCCAGCAATTACCAGTGATAACATCAAATACCATTGTGAGGTGCCGATCTTGTCGAACATATATCAACCCTTTCGTGTCCTTCATTGATCAGCGCAGATGGAAGTGTAACTTGTGCTACAGAGTTAATGATGGTGAGCTCCAGACCCTTAAAATAAGTGTTAATGTTGTTTTCCATGTTTCCTTACACCTTTGTCATTACTCAGTTTCTCTCCTTGTTGCTTTAAAAACAACTTTCATGCCATTTTCAATGGAGAGAATACAGACCTTCATTTTAGCAATGAGGAAAGTGACAGTGAGGACAAAGTAAAAGAATATTCATAAAAGAAACAGGGATGGTCACTCAGGTGAACTCTTGCACTTCATATGTAAGACTGTTTTCCGTTTGTGTATGTTTATGTAGACTCAGTCTGTGTCTTGGGTCTCTTTATTATAATTTCTTTCAGATTTGTGTTTCTTTGAATTTTTTTCTGTGTCATGTGATTTAATAAATAGGACAGAAATCTAAGAAGCAAGGCTACCTGTGTCCTGGTTTTCCCACATGATTTCAGAAAATGAGTTTTTTATCCTTCTGTTTTGAGTTTTAAAGAAGGTTAAGGGATTTGTTTTTATTGTTAAATATTCAGACTGTTGGTAAACCTCATAAATATTGATGACAAAGCTGTTTAATTGTATTTATGTTACTAAATTTGTTCGGAACTCCTACCTCTTACCTAGTTCCTGAAGAATTTATGTATAACCCCCTTACACGATCTTATGGAGAGCCTCATAAACGACCAGAAGTTCAGAATTCAACTGTGGAGTTCATTGCTTCCTCAGATTACATGGTAATTATTCAGTGCTAAATTAGTCCTGGGAAACAATGGTATTTGTCATTGTAGTTTTCTGTTAAGTGAATTCTTACCCACATGTTGAGGCAGAGACAGCAGAATTGAAAGTGCAAGTCCAGCCTGGACTACATAATGGTACTGTGTCACAAAAAAATAAAATGAAGAAAAAGATCTTTGACTTATGTTCTGCTTATATTCTTTGTTATATTTTCTGATTTTTAGTATACGTATAATTGTTTTTCTTCTGTGTCCATCTAATCTTGGTGGTCTGCAAAAATGCAAAGTGCTGCTACTAGAGGAAGGTGGACAGGAACAACTGATGTGAAGTCACCTCCTGGTGCTTGGCCCATCTTTTATTTTGTAGTTTTTATGGTCTCTTGTGTCTTAATTTGGCCTATGTTGAACTACATTTGCCATGTCTATTTCCATATTAACTATAGTAAACTTTCTCTTGATCACTTACTCTCAACTTCTTACCTTTATGACTTATTTTATGGGCTGAGGGTGTAGCTCAGAGGAAGAATGCTTTTCCTGACATGTTTGAGGGCCTGGGTTTGATCCACAGCCCCCCCCACTCCCCACCCCCCAAAAAAGACTACATATATATTTTTATTATTTTCCATGACAGGAATTTTCACGCATACTCCAAAGAAGAGAAAATGACATAATAAATGCTCCTTTACCCATTCCCGAGCTTCAACATAAATCAGCATTTTTGAAATATATTTAATTTATTTCCCCAGTCTACTCTTTTCCCTTTCCCCTCACCTACCCTGGAGTTTCACCCACAAATATGCCAGTAATATCTCTAACCAAAAAGGACTTTTTCAAAAGGTCAGTTCGAGAAGAATCAACTTAAAATGTAACACATATGTACATGAAAGCAGTGCTGGGAATCTTCCTGTACAGCTATCCTTATCTCAACTAGCAAAAATGCTTTGTCCTTCTTACTATTGTTTATACTCTGTCTTCAACAAAATTAGCGATAAGGACAAAGCAGTTTCTGCCTGGAAGCGAGGGGGTGGGGTGGGGAGAGGGAAGGGGGTGGGGGGTAGGGGGGAGAAATGACCCAAATATTGTATGCACATATGAATAAACGAAAAAAAAAATTGTAAAAAGATAAAAAGAAACTAAAATTTTAAAATTAAATATTTTTAGGAATGTGGAAAGTACACCTGAGTATTTAGACAGTTTAGTATTAAATAATAAAGCAGACTGCTTTTTCTTTACAGTAAACTTTCTTTTTTTTTTTTTTTTTTTGGCGGCACTGGAGTTTGAACTCAGGGCTTCACGCTTGCTAAGCAGGTGCTTGTAGTGCTTAAGCCACTCTAGCCCCCTGCTTTTTCTTTAAAAGATATCTTAGCCAACATTCTTTACCTGGAAAATATTTAATGCATCTTCTTAACTATTCCAGCTGCCTTATTGTGCTTAACCACAACAAACTTTGCAAGAAAAACAAAGAAAGGAATGCCATTTTCTTTAGCATATAAGCTTATAAAAGAGCAATCTGTTTGTGTATTTCTGGTACAATATACCCAACAAATAGCCAGTTGTAATAGTTTATAAAAAGAATAAATCACCCCTGCTAAATGAGTCACATTATTTTTATTCCTTTCAGCTTCGTCCTCCTCAACCTGCAGTTTACTTGTTTGTCTTAGATGTGTCTCACAACGCAGTGGAAGCTGGATATTTGACAATTTTGTGCCAGTCACTGTTAGAAAACTTAGACAAGTAAGAATTTTTTTTTTACTCATAGTATATTTATGTATATAAATATATATAAATGTGAAGTGTTTAGGCAATTTATGGACTTAGGGGTTTTTGTTAAATTTGGAAATACTTATCTATAAACTTTTTACCATAGAATAAGGATCCTGTTACTTGAGTTGTTATGATTTAATGACTTAGTATTTGATTCATAAAATCATAAAAGTTTTAACATTTAGTAAGGAATTTAGGTCTGGTCTGATCATCCCTCTGACTTAGCTCAAGCCCTGGGGCCCAGACATGCTTGCGTTGGTCTGGGTATCAGGAATCTGGAGACTGTTCTCAAAGATGGCTGAATCTGAAGAAGATTGTGTTAAGTGACATAAGCGAGGAACTGAAAGATAAATACTACATGGGGTAATGAGGAACGGGGTGGATAGGGAGGTGTTTGTCAAAGAATACAAAATTTTAGATAGGCAGGCTGAGTACATTCTAGAGGTCTTGTACAAAATAGTGACAATAGTTAATATATTGTATTCTTGACAAATACTAAGTAGATTTGAGATGTTCTAATTACAGAAACTTACATTGTTTATTAGCTAGATTTAGTCATTCCACAATATGCATATTATATGTGTGTATATACATTTCAAAACATCATGTTGTACACTATAGATACATATAGTTTTATGTTGATTTAAATAAAGAACAAGTTTTAAAAATGTAGAAGAGAAGTCTAGCTATAATTTATGCCCAAGCAAGGGTTTTGTTTTTTTTTAAGCTGCTTTTAATTGTACAGTGAGAGAATGAGTTGAAGAAAGGGAAGAAAGGAACTGATTTTGTGCTAAATATTTTAGAAAGTCAGAACCTAAGCTCTGAGCCAGGCAAAGGGCAAAGATCAGGAACATCATGGTTCAGTGTCAGCCCTGGCAAAAAGTTAGTGAAATTCCGTCTTAACAAACAAGCCTGGTGTGGCAGTCATATCTGTAATCCCAGCCACACAGGAGGTATAAATAGGAGGATCATGATCTGATGTCAGCTCCAAGGCAATAAAGCACAGGGCTCTATCTGAAAAATGACTAAAGCAAAAAGGGCTGGAGGTGTGGCTCAAGTGGTAAAGCACCTGCCTAGCAAGCACAAGGCCCCAAGTTCAAACCTAAGTATTGCCAAGAAAAGAAAAGAAAATTAAACTGAGCTGTGCGTAATGGCACAGTGGCAGTGAGCTGTGCTGTGGAATAGAAGAAGAGGGTAAGATGGGTGGCTTATTCTGGCTCTTCATTCCTGTGTTTCTATGAGTGTTAATCATGAAGGACTTTCTCAGCTAGCTTTAAAAATGATCCTTCGAAATTGCCGTAAAGTTGTCCAATATCAACAAGAGACATGACCCTATAGAGGAGTGGCGTGGTTATTTAAAAATGCTGTGTCTCATCAAGGACTATGGGTGATTCCAAAGGCTTCTCCCCCATCTTCTTGAGCAGGATTTTGAGTTTGACAATCCATACGAGTGCTGGCTTATAAATGAAGCTGGTAATATTAAGATGTTAAGTTTCTAAAAATCCAGAGATACTGAAAGATTTGCTTTTCATATTTGTTAATAATTCAGTTTTTAATCTTTAAAGTATTTTCTCTTACTTAGTTATAAGTGTTCACTTCAGAAATACGGCAATAGAAGTCCACATTTCTAATCTCTTTCTCTCTCTCTTTTTTTTTTTTTTTGGTGGGATTGAGGTTTGAACTCAGGGCTTCACACCCACAAAGCAGGTGCTCTACTGCTTGAGCTATGTCTCCAGTTCATTTTGCTCTGATTATTTTGGATCCAGGGTCTGTCAGACTATGCCTGGGCTATCCTCAAACCACGGTCTTCCTGAACTCAGCTTTAATACTGGAGGTCCTATAATGCTCCCAGAGGGGCTGTAATACCAGATGTGTTCCTGGAGTGGACAGAACAAGCACCCATTCCATCCCCCTGTTGCATCAGTCCTCTGATGATACCATTAGATAGAATGGTAGGAGGCTACGACCCCAGATCGAAGCTATGCAGACAAAGATGAGTGACTATTTATAAATTGAAGAGATTGCAAAGACAAAAGGATAAAATTGGAAATTGGAAATAGTCATGAAAAATAATTGTATTTGATTGCAGCAAAAAATAGAAGCATTAGGAAGTAAAAACAAAATTCATAAAGGTGATAGCATAGCGACAATATAATAAGTTTTGGAAAGGGCTCTGGAGACCACTGAGAAAGGAAAGTTTGATGCTGAAGCAGTTCCACCTCAATTCAGGATAGTTTGATCTACTCCTAACTGATGACCCTCATATACAGTGATCAAAGAGGTGGAGATTAGTCTGTAGAAGCATCATAAACTGTGACCAGTATTAGTAAACTGAAAACTCATATTATGTTCTCTGAAATGCTTTTCACTTACTTCATGCACTGCATTTGAGCAGCCTGATGAGATCATCCTTATTAGTAATAATGCTTCTTGCTTTGATGCACATTCTAGTTTGGCATCTTGTAAAACAATGAAACTACATAACTGAAGTTAACGTGGTATTTTGAAATATACTTGTGTAAGATATTAATATGGAAAGCTTGACAGGCAATGAAATGATTTTTTTTTTTATTGGTTGTTTTGGGGTTTGAACTCAGGGCCTCAAACTTAGCAGGCAGATGCTGTACCACTTGAGTCATATCCTCAGTCCTTTTTGCTCTGGTTGTTCTGGAGATAGGGTCTCACTTTTTTGCCCAGACTGGCCTGGACTGTGATCCTCCTATTTTACACTTCCTCTCATTGCTGTGATGACAAGTGTGTGCCACCATGCCCAGCTTTTTTTCATTGAGATGAGGTCTCAAACTTTTTTGCCTAGTTTGCCTGGAACCACAGTCCTTCTTATCTCATCTCCAAAGTAGCTAGGATTACAAGTGAGCTACCAGTGCCTGGCTGGTAATTTCTTTTTTATACTGTGGCCTTGACTTTGAAAACTGAGTTCTAGGACTGAGTACATGACTCACCTGGTAGAGGGTTTTCTAGCAAGTGCAAGGCTCTGAGTTCAAACCCCAGTACTGCCAAAAAAAATTTTTTAAAAAGAAAGAAAGCTGTTCTAAGAAATTTTTAAAGATTGGTTATAGACAAATGTTTCAATGTTCATAAATGTGTTTTTAAAATTTTACATATTAAAATGGGACTTTCATTATAGCCAATCTTTGAAAAGTATTCATCAATCTGCCCTTAGAAGGCTTAAAAAGGATCTACTGTTATAATACTGGAACTAAAATTATGAGCATTTTTTTACCTAAAAGAGTATGTTTCACAAGAAATCTTTAACTTTTTTAAATAATTTCATTTTTTGTTTTGGTTTATTTTTCAGTTCCTTTTTCATTGGAGTATATTAAACTGTACATAGTAGGGGTTTCTTCATAACATTTCTATGCATATATATAATGTATTTTGATATTTACCCCTCTATTTTTCTTACCCCCTCAATTCTTGCCACGGTTTATTATTTGAATACTGATATAGTTCAATTTTCAGTGTATGAATTCTAAATATGCAAGTGGTTTCATTTGAAAATGAATTATTTCATCCTCACTTGCCTATGTTGTATATTGGTTTAGATAAGAGATAATTTTTCTGTAAAGTATATGTGTATACTTTCATTCTTTCCTGAAATATGTTACTTTGAATTTAAAATTGCCATTTTTATCTTTAGGCTTCCTGGAGATTCACGAACAAGAATAGGATTCATGACATTTGATAGTACTGTTCATTTCTACAATTTGCAAGAAGGATTGTCCCAGCCTCAGATGTTGATTGTGTCTGATATAGATGGTAAGCACTGAGGAGGATTAAAGTCTAACTCACACTCTGGAATGGAGCTGCAATACATTTGGTCACACGCTGTGAGCATAATTTCTGTGCTTTAGCGTTTGTTTTAAAATAATTATTTTATTGGAAGCACTTGATTCTGAGTTTTACACCTGCATGTATAGTACACATGTATGTATAATATGTAGAGTATATATTTAATAAGGCAATGTTATAATACATACTATATGTATGATCTAATAAGATCTAAAATTTTCCTACTTATTATATTCTCTTGAATTGATTTGTTGATTAAAACGTATGTTTTCCCTGTAGATGTTTTTCTACCTACACCGGATAGTTTACTTGTGAATCTATTTGAAAGTAAAGAGGTAAGATTGATTTATTTTCTCAAAATACCAAAGTGTTTCTGTAATTTCATCTGCTTACTAGTTATTAACACTTGTTTACTTGATATAGCTATTGAGTCCTCAGATTATAGGCCCCAGAGATGCAGTGACACACGGAACATTCTGGAATGTGTTAAAGAAGAATACTATCTTGTCTGCTCAATGACTCAGCTTTCAATCTTGTTTTCCCAGCTTATAAAAGACTTACTGGATGCCTTACCAAACATGTTCACCAGTACAAGAGAGACGCACAGTGCCCTGGGTCCTGCGCTTCAGGCGGCGTTTAAGTTAATGTCTCCAACAGGTGGCCGGGTGTCTGTATTCCAGACACAGTTACCTTCCTTGGGTGCAGGACTTCTGCAGTCCAGAGAAGATCCTAATCAAAGATCAAGTACAAAGGTACTTTATGTTTACTTTCTCTGTCATGTCCAGTGGTATTTTTACCACTGATTATTTGTTCATTATCATTTTTTATTACTTTTTCAATAATAATAAGAATAATGCTGGGTGCTTATGGCTCAGGCCTGTGATCCCACCTACTTGGGAGGTTGAGATGGGGAGGATCTCAATATGAGACCAGCAGGACAGAAAAAGTTTGCAAGAGCCATTTCAACTGAAAATAGCTGGGTATGGTGGCATTGCCTATCATCCCAGCAATGGTGAGAAACTTAAATAGTGAAACTCATTCTCCAAACTAACCAGAGCAAAAAGGGCTAGAGGCGTGAGTCACGAGTAGAGCGCCTGCCTTGCAAAGCCCTGCCAGTTCAAACTCCAATACCATCAAAAATTTTTTTAATTAAAAAGGCAACAACCAATTTAAAAAATTCTTTTTTAAAACCTAGGAAGAGAGATTAACTTACATTATCTTTTTTATTTTTTATGTGGCAGTGTGTTCTTTTTATTACTTTGTAAGCCATGAAAATCTAAAAGTCATTTAGTCTAATCCTTTCATTTTACAAATGAGGAAACAGATTAAATGAGTTGCCAAAGGTTAAATACTTACCAGAAGGCTGGGTATAGCTTGTTTTCCTGACTCCAGTGTTCTTTTCTATTATACAAGTGGAAATTTATTAAATCTAAGCTATTCTAATTTAACATGCTCATGCTAATGAACTTTTTAATTATAAACGAAATACTAATCATTGTACAAAACCTGAAATGTAGAGAATATGACATCAATAATCATTTTATTGCTGGGCATCAGTGGTTCATGCCTGTAATCCTAGCCACTCAGGAGGCAGAGATCAGAAGGATAGTGGTTCGAAGCCAGCCTGGGCAAATAATTCCACAAGACCCTATCTTGGAAAAACGCTTCACAAAAAAGGGCTGGTGGGGTGACTCAAGGTGTAGGCCTTGAGTGCAAGCCCCAGTACTGCAAAAAAAAAAAAAAAAAAAAATCACACTATCAAGATATTAGCATTTACCTATACAAACACATACAAAGAAGCATAATTGGGCATCATTTGTATATGCTATGTTTTTATTTTATTTATTTTGGGGTGCAGTATTGGGGTTTGAGTTCAGGGCTTCATGTTTGCTAGGCAGATGCTCAATCACTTGAGCCATACCTCCATCCTTCCTATATATTGTTTTTTTAAACTTGCCTTCTGAGATCCCTGAAATGCTAAAAAGTATTCATCTTCCAGGAAATGTGAGAATACTCTAGTTAACTTTGGAGAGTGGAGTAGGAGAAGCCAGTGAGGACATAAGATGCAGAGCAGCTGCTTTTCCTAAAATGTTTATGTCACATAATCTGTAGGCTGAAATTTGGCACAGCCCCAGCTACAGAACAGAGCGAGAAGGCGAGCTGCAGCTCAGCTGCTTTTCCTAAGTTGTTTAAAGCAGGTTTCTCTTGTTATGTCACACCCCCTCCCTGAGAAATGTTGCTCTACCTCCTTGTTTACTGCTGGGTGTAAAAGACTCTCTGAAGGAGGAAGCAAAGCTTTTTTTGGGTGAAGAAAGGCTTTTGGATGAAGGGAGGGTTTTTGATGATGGGAGGTATTTGGATGAAGGGAGGCTTTTTGATGGGGCAGGGTTTGGCTGAAGGGAGAATTGCTGAAGGGAAAAGAGTTGCTGAAGGGGAATTGCTAAAACTAAAGAGAGAACATGGGACAGTGCAAGTCTGCACTGAGAACTTTATACATAGGCTTTAGAAAAGCTAAGCTAGAGAGAACATGGGATAGTGCAAGTCTGAGGGCAAAGACTTTAAGAGCGATTAAGGTAAAGAAAAGCTAAGAGAAAACATGGGACGGAGCGAGTCTAAGGAAGGAGGTTTTAAAGAATAGTGAAGCAAGGTTTTACAGAATTGTAAAGGAGTAAGGTCTTAGAGAAAAGAAGCAGAGTAAAGAGAAGAGATTATTAATAGAGATAAGAAGCAAATGAGGCCGTTACACGTCTCCACCCAAGTGCCCAACACACCTGACCCCAACTTTCTGTCTGTCTGTCTATCCTGTGTCCTTTTTGCATCTCTCGTCACCCCCAGTTAGGCCCAGTTAGGTTCAGTAATAACCAGGGAGCGAGAGAAAGCTCGCTACAGTTAACCTATATATTTTAGCTTCTGGGATTCAATTACTTAAACCTTCTTAATCTTTTACTCTCATGTTGTGTAATGGTATACAGTAACACTTAACAGCCCTTACTCTGGAGCTAGATTCTTGAATTTCTATTCCAGCATCCACCACTCAATAACTGTGGAATCTTGAACAAGTTACTTCATCAGTTTTTGCCTCAGTTTTCTCAGTTATAAGAGATAGGTAACAAAGGCTGGGAATGTAGCTCAGTGGTAGAGTACCTGCCTAGCTTGTGCAGTGTCCTCAGTTTGATCCCCAGCACCATAATAATAATGCTAATAATAATAAATTCCATGGGATATGTGTTGTGAGAATTGAATTATTTGATTTATATAAAACTTCTCAAGCAGTGGTGACACAAAAGTGATTTTTTATAAATACTTGCTGCTATTTTATAGGAAATCTGTGCCAAAACTCCTTAGTCTGATAGTGGAGCAGAGGATATCCTATTATAAGAGAAATGTGGGAATATGTGCATAATTAAAAGTTTCTGGCTTTTACTCTCTGGTTTGTTGCCTTAGGTAGTACAACACCTTGGACCTGCAACTGATTTTTATAAGAAACTTGCTTTAGATTGCTCAGGACAGCAAACTGCAGTGGATTTATTCCTTTTAAGTTCACAGTATTCTGATCTTGCTTCTCTAGGTAAGAAGATGTCATTATGTTTATGTGCTTATATATACATTTTTAGTATATAATTAAATTTGAAGTCTTCAGTAAGCCTTCTCAATACTTGGGGGAGGGGAGGCATGTAAGTTAGCTGATTAATATCTTGAAGATTAACTTTATAAATTCATGTACAAGTATAAAATGCCACTAGTGTTTTGTTTATATAGCGTGATTCCTTTACTATTCTGCTCAACAAAAACTTTATTTGTATGTTATATTTTATAAATGTTTCCGTGTTCTCATATGTATACATTATTATTTGTCTTGGGCTTTCTCATTATAATTCTGGTTTCTTCATGATGTGGAATCTGTGCTACTCCTAGACAAGTAGAATGTTATTGCTTCTATAGCTAATCCTTTTTGTGTTTCTTTCTGAAGCTTGTATGTCCAAGTATTCTGCAGGGTGCATTTATTATTATCCATCATTCCACTGTACTCACAATCCGTCACAAGCAGAAAAGCTACAAAAAGACCTAAAACGATATCTCACAAGAAAAATTGGATTTGAAGCAGTTATGAGAATAAGATGTACTAAAGGTATGTACTTGTAAAAAGTATATGTTATGTTATATTCTAGTATCAAAATCAGTTAGCTTTCACATGTGGGCTGCCTTTGACAATGACTATTTGTCATAGGAGACTTTCTGTTTGATCCAGTTAGCAGTGTTCTGTTTAAGTATACAAGTATACATAGTTACTGAATCATCATTACCTAGTTTCTTGTTAGCATGTATTAATTGTACAGAGGGGTTTCATTGTGATATTTGTATACATGTGCATAATGTATTTTGATCAGATTCACCCATCTGTTAATCTTTCTCATCCCCTTCCCCTCTTTTTAAACAGTTTTTAGTAAGATTCATTATTCTACTTTCATACCTGCATATGAAGTACTTTGATGGTATTTACCCCCACTTTATCTTCTCCTTTCTGCCCCCTCCCCACCCTCAAACAGTCTGTATTTTACACTCATGTCATAAAATTTGTGTTTTAAATCTAGATCCTGCATATGAGGGAGAATATGTGACACTTGTCTTTCTTAGTCTGGCTTGTTTTGCACAATATGACAATCTCCATTTCCAGCCTATTCCTGCAGATGACACAGGCTAAATACTACTCCATTGTGTATATGTACCACATTTTCTTTATCTATTCATCGGTTGATAAGCACCTAGACTGATTCCATAGCTTGACTATTGTGAATAGTGCTGCTATAAACACAAGTATTAGTTATCTATATTGTACACTAACTTACATTCTTGTTGCCCAATTTTTAAAATTAAATAAGTGGATAAAATAATGTTTTGGTTTATTTAGGAAGAACCTAATTGAAAGCTCATATTGGAAATGATTTGAAAAAGACCAGTAGAAGAATTGGGAAGGAATATGCACATTGCCAAATTAGGATTTTATGTTTACAATCATTTAATTTGTATTTCCTTAGATTAATATGAATGTTTGCTGGAGGGATTCTGATCCCTTATTTTAAATTGAAGATGAGTTATACAGTAATCCTCAGTTACTTAATTTTGTACATTAGGTATATGTCTGAGTTCAAATCACATATGAGAAAATACTAATAAGATTAGGTGTCAATACAATTAAGTGTGTGGTCTCCCTTTTATATAACCTGCATTGATTTTTTTGAATTAGTATTTTAGAAATTCTGCCTACACTGTAACCTTACTCTCCCTAGTTAATTCAAAATCAGAGGCTTCTTGACTTACATGTGGTTTTACTTGAGGTAAAGATAGTGCTGTTACTTTATCTTTTATACCAAGTTTTCTCTTTCTTAGGTCTTTCAATGCACACTTTTCATGGAAACTTCTTTGTCCGTTCCACTGATTTGTTGTCTCTTGCCAACATTAATCCTGATGCTGGATTTGCAGTGCAGTTGTCAATTGAAGAAAGTTTGACAGATACATCCTTAGTGTGCTTTCAAACAGCCCTGTTATATACGTCAAGCAAAGGTAATGTTAACAGAAATGAAATAGTCTGCAGCAAGAATTCTCCCTTCTTTTCATGTCCTCTTTAGTGGAGTTGGGAAAACTGGAACCTGCATTAGTTAATCAAATGTATGTTCTGTTATTTTCTTTTTTAACTCTAACTTTTGAATCTTTAAATAATACACTTTTTTTTTTTTAATTTGTGGAAAACTTGTATTCCTAGGATCATATGTTTCTGGTAAGCAATTCATGATAAATCGTTGAAATCCATTCCTTCCATTATTTCTTGCACTTTAAAATAAAAAACTATAGCAGTTAAGACCTTCATTTCTTATTTGACAGTCTGGGTTTTCTGATAATTTACTGTGATTGGTATAATTTACAATGAGTGACATTAAAATAAAAACTAGAATTTAATGTTCAACTATATATAAAATGTAGTCAGTATTTATAATCTACAGTAGTAATTTTTTTGTGTGTGTGTGTTTTCAAGGCAGGTGCTTTCCCACCTGAGCCACTCCACCAGCCCTTTAATTCTCTTTAAAGCATGTTAATTAGGCTGGATATGTAATTCAGTGGTACAGTGCTTGCCTAGCATGCATGAGACTCTGGGTTCTATCCCTAGTATCCAATACAAAAAAACACAAAGAAATTTAAAGCATGTTAATTGTAAAACTTTGCTTTACATTTGAAAATCCTGTTGATGATTTAATCTAGCCAAAGCAGTAATTTAAATAAAATGGTGGCCTGTTTGCTGTATTTCTTGTGTAATCTAATGTATGTTACAATGACATTTATGCACCATTTTGTCTAGGTGAGCGGAGAATTAGAGTGCATACACTTTGTTTGCCCGTGGTTAGCTCACTAGCAGATGTATATGCAGGAGTGGATATGCAAGCTGCCATCTGCCTTCTGGCAAACATGGGTGAGTAAAAGTGAAGGAGCGGGCAAATTACAGTTTTCTGTCCTAGCAGCTGAAACTGGGGCTATTTTTTTAAGCCTTGAAATCCCTCATTTAAAAAACGTATGTGCATTTTCATGTATTGCAAGATAAGTTAGACTTGTATTAGACTTATATTTCTTTGAGGTTTTTCCAGTTTTATTCTGTTATATATATATGTATTAATGAAGTACAACATGACATTTAATAAGTAGATATATCATGTAATGGTTACCATTTTTCTCTCCTCTTTTTTGAATTACTTCTTGGTCGGGAGTTTCCTTAGAAATAATGTACTTCTTTCTTTATTTTTTTATTATTGTGCTGGGGATACATTATGATATTTACAAAACTTTGTGCAGTATATCATAATTGAATTCACCCCCTCCATCACTCTCCTTTATTTCCTCTCCCTGCTATGTACTTCTTAAAACAATTTAAAACCTACAATTGTATACAGTGGTTTTGCTCTGACATATTTTAAGTGTTACTACTCTGTTTAATTGGGAAATACCAAGAAATGCTTGGTATTTAACTTTTGCAGCCTTCATGGGCCTAGTGAGAGGCTAGCAAAGGCCATTCTGGACTTACATTTCTTATTAATTTTTACTTTAACAATCTGTTGGGGGATTCACGATCACTAAAAACGGGTAAAAACCTAAATGGCCTTCAGATAAACATATGAACAACTGATACATCCCCATAATGAGCTACAACTCAACAATGACAAGGAATGAGCTACAGCACTTAAGCAGACATGGATGACCTCTGCAGGCATTATATTAAGTGAAAACAGCTAGACTCAATATGGTTCCATTCATATGACATTCAGGAAAAGGGAAAATAATACAGTGGTTGCCAGGACTGGGTGCAGAGAGAGGATGTTACTAGGGACCCTACAAAAAGGTACAAGATGGTATTTTGGGGTAATGGATTGTGTCTTGATTGTGGTAGTGATTACATGACTATGCATCTAACATAGAACCACCATAGAACTGTACTCAGAAAAATAAATTCTACTGTGTGCAAGTTTTAAAATCCTTTCAGGAATTAATACAATACTGAGTGTTTTGTTTTTAACAAATTTTCTTTATTGATAAGTTTAGACATGCAGTGAGCCTTGCTACTTCTCACATAAGCTTGGGGGTTTGAAGCAAAATTATAATGGCATTTACTAAAGGACTTCTTTTATTTTTTTTCTTTTTCCTTGCAGTGTCAGGCCTTTGTGCGTGCTTATGCAGGCACCGCACCATTTGCTATGCCCCCAGCCCAAGTATCTCAATGTGTAAACTATCATTTTATATATAGATTTTGAATTATTAATACCATGGCTGATTGTTTTTCAGTTTGATTTTATTTTTAATGTGTGGGGATATTTATAGGTTATATCTATTTTGATAAAATATGTTCTTGAAGAAAAATAAGTTTCACAGTGGTATTTGCTCTTAAATATCTGTATGAAAACTCATGTTCAGTTTGCCGTTTTTTAATATTTTGACCTAGAATCTTGTAAAGAGAGGATTTTAGAGGATCACAAGAGATAACTTAGATTGTGCAGTTTACATTGGTTGTACAGAACAAAACTATTCTTTACACATGACTTCCATTTAAGTACTGAAAACATCTCCAGGGCTTTCTCAGAAGTAGATAGGTAATATACATCCTCTAACATCAATAGTGGCCAAGTGTTTTTAAAGACTTAAAGAGATTAAAAGAAAAAATGTCCTAAAAAATTTAGACTTGTTCTGATTACCAGATGTACTTAAGAAAAAGTGGGTAATGAGTATACATTTAAAATGAGGGAACAAGAATGATGGAGGGAATGAATTCAACGAAATACATAACTGTAAGAACTTTTGTAAATGTAACAATGTACCCCCAGTACAATAATATGATAATAAAAAAATAAAATGAGGGAGCAGATGCAATGCGTTTTGTTTGTTCGTAAATAATACATACATACGTGTGTGTGTGTGTGTGTGTGTGTGTGTGTGTGTGTGTGTAATCAGAGTGCTCATTGGACTCTGGTAGTTAAGTACCTTTTCATTTGGGTTGCTTCCTAGCGGTGGATCGATCAGTCTCCTCAAGTCTATCAGATGCGAGAGATGCCTTGGTGAATGCTGTGGTGGACTCGCTATCCGCGTATGGCTCCACGGTCTCAAACTTACAGCACTCTGCTTTGATAGCGCCCAGCTCACTCAAGTTGTTCCCTCTCTATATTTTGGCCCTTCTCAAACAGGTAGCTCTATTTGTTATTATACTTAATGAAGGTATTTTTTAATCTCATACATATGTGAAGAAATGAAATTGAGGTTTTTCTAAATACTTAACTAGAGAATTAAGCACTTCAGCATTCCACGACTTCTAAAGAATAGGAAAAAAATAAGTGGGAAATGAAGATGTACAAACATATTATGACTTATGAAACATAGGCTCTCTTTTCTTCATATGTTGTGAGCAATTTGAAATGATGTGGTCATAGCCACTTTTTTCCCCCACTGAGGGTTTGAACTCAAGGCCTCATGCTTGCTGGGCACTATCACTTGAGCCATGCCTCTTGCTCAGTCTTCATATGTGCTTCTAAAAAGAGACTAAGGAAAGGATCTAATACTTATCTTTCCATTGTCTCAGGTACCATAATATATGGCATCTCATTCAATCCTTACAACAGCCTAGAGAGGGGAGTATTATTTTCTGTTTTTCTTATCATAACAATATAGCACAACTTGCTACATACCTATTAACCGAATAATTGAATCCAGGTCTGTCTGATTTGAAGACATTCTTTTTCCATGATTGATGGTATATATTTAATAGTTGCTCACTATATTTATGTTTTACTTGGAAACGTGTTATCTTTCTCCTTATAGAAAGCATTTAGAACGGGCACAAGCACACGCCTGGATGATCGTGTATATGCCATGTGTCAGATAAAGTCTCAGCCACTTGTTCATCTAATGAAAATGATTCATCCCAACTTATACAGAATAGACAGATTGACAGATGAGGTATGCATTTTAGTGCATTTGAAATTATTAAATTTGAATATATTTGAGTCTCACAATTTTACACCTAAGATAATGTATTATCAACATTCTACCATTCTTTTTCCCCCTATGATAATAGTACATCAAATAAAGACAAGGATCCAATTAGATGTTAAGACTCAGATATTGCCAATCAGAGGCTATGGAGTTTTCAAAAATAGTTTCATGTGGGAAGTAACTTAACTCATGGGTTTTGTTATAATATTTATTACAAAGCTAAGATATAGAGTGATTTCTGTTTTTATTTTTTATAGGTATTGGCAGTTTCTGATCAGATTATAATATCACTAATTTAGTAAACTGAATTTGGTATCCAGCAATAGTTTTAATATGCAAACATGTATCTTTTTTCTTCCTTATTTTAAAACTGTATTCTTTGGAAATTAGTGTTAATTACAAGCATGGCATATTAGTAGAGAATGTAAAAAAGTAGCTTGCTGTGTAGGAGAATTGGCAGTCATATTTTTAATATATTCTGACCCCAAAAGGGCAGTAAATGGGACAGATCATTTTACATACTTATGTTTTTACCTTAAAATTTTGAGTATACTTGACTATGTTCATTGTACAGCCAAAGTGGTAATATTTAATCGATATGTTTTGTATTCTATAAAATTCTCAGTGTCATATTTTAATATTTCATGAAGAGTTTGTGGCCACTAATTCCCAGACTGTATCGATAGTAATGTCAGCCTCCTTAAACATTGTACCTTCTTTTTTCAGGGTGCGATACATGTTAATGACAGGGTGGTACCTCAGCCACCCCTTCAAAAATTGTCTGCAGAGAAGCTGACAAGAGAAGGTGCTTTCCTTATGGACTGTGGCTCTGTAAGCTCCTCTCCTCACAAAACTGCTCACTGTTTCAGCTGGCTGGAGGGAAAACACTTGCAGGGTCTGGCTCTGTCATCACCGAGCAGGCAGCGAGGGGGGATAAGGGGCTGAGAGGCAGTAACTTGTTACAGCACAGTAGGTCCATTCACTTTGCATGTTTCTAGCTGGACGTTATTTCCATAGGTTAACTAATTTTATTATCATGGATTATGCATACCTGATAAAGAGAAGATGAATTCCTATCTTTAAGAATTTTACCATAGGAATTCTAAAATTCAAGTGACTTTAAGAGTTCAACTTATATTCATTATCAGAAATCTCATTAATGGTTAGGAGTTCAGAAGCCATGTGATGATAAAGGTGTCAGAATTGTTGAAATAGCCTCAGTGGTATCTGTGAGTAGGAAAAGGGTTTGGAGAGCCACAGAAGAGGGAAAAACCCATATGTTGAAATATAGAAAGAGTAATTGAAATAATAGATGGGAAATACAATGAGCCAGTTGTCCTAATTCTAGCATTTACACATCTATTGGGGACGTAGTGAAAAAGAAGTAAAATATATTTTATGAGAAGCCTTAAAATTTAAGCAAAGAAGATGTAAACCATTCTAGATTCTTTGATGTGGGTTCCCAATGTACCAGTTACAGGTTTCCATCTGACTTTTAGATTTATTCCTACTGTATTTGAGATAATTCTGCATAATTTTGAGTGAATTAACTATAATGGGTTTTCTTAACCATTATATTTAATGTTTTTTAATATTTTACTAAAATATAAAGCTCCATTATTAATGGACTTGTAATATTTTATTATAGGTTTTTTACATTTGGATTGGAAAAGGCTGTGACAACAACTTCATAGAGGATGTGCTTGGCTATCCTAATTTTGCATCAATACCACAGAAAATGGTCAGTGGGTTTTACGCAACCTAATTTGTTTTTAGTAATTTCATCGACATAAAAAATTTAAGTTTATTAATTAAAGTGTGCAGTGTTCAGATGTCTTACATCCATCAGCACAATCTAATTTAAAAACATTTCTGTTATCCCCCTAAAAAGAAACCTTTTATCTTCCAGTTCTCCCCTCCCTTTCTCCCTTGGCAAACACTGATGTATGTTTTGCCTATGAATTTGACCCTTCTGGATGTGCAGAGTGAAATTACTGAGAATGTGGACTTTTGTGCTTAGTTTCTTTCGGTTTCCGTGACATTTTCAAGGTTGATTTACATGTGACTTGTATTAGTACTTTATTCTTTCTGACTGAAAAATAGTCCATCATTGGGCATCTTGGTTGTTTCTGGGGAAATTTGCGAGTAATGCTAGTAGAAGCTTTCATGTGCACGTTTTGGGGTGAACCTGTGTTCAGCTCTCTTGGAGAGTAATTCCCCCTCAGAGGGAAATTACTAGGTCATGTGGCAACCTTCACGTTTCACCTGCTGAGGAATTGCCAAACTCTTTCCCAGCAGCTTCAACTTTTATGTAAATTATCTTGTTGATGATAAACATAATTTTTTCATTAGGTCTTTATTGAACATGTGTTAACCAATACCAAAGAAATGTGATTCTGAAAGCACTTCTGTATATTTAATTAATTGAAAAGAAAGGCCCACTTTATTCTTGGATGTTGTAAATATGTCCTTTTCCCTGAAATCAATACTAAATCAGTGTAATCCATATCAAAATCTGTTGTTTGTTTGTTTTTTCCACTTTGACAATTTAATCCTGAAGTTTATCTCTTAAGATTCAGCAAATGAGAATCTTAAGGAAACATTTGAAAAGGAAGAATAATGTCAGCAAAAGGGAAAGGTATATGAAAAATTCTCCTGAATAATTAGTAATCCTTATCCTAAAGGTATAGTTATTTATGCACCTATGATACTGGCATAATAAAATAGTGGAACAGGTTTGAGTTCAGAAATAGATTCAATTCCTGCAAAACAGAATGTGGTGAAAATTATGGTTGATATCACTGTGGGAAAAATAGAATATTAGAAAAATAATCTTGGAACCGCTGATTACCCCTGAGGGAAAAAATGAGGCTGAATATTTACCTTATTTCTCTTACAAAACACCTTTCAAATGGAGTAAACATTTAGACATTTTAAAAAAAGAGGCCACTTGTTGTGATGCACTTCTGTAATCCTGGCTACAGAGTAAGTGGAGGTTAGGAGGATCACTGTTTGTCCTGGGCAAAAAGCCTAAAGCTATGTCCAAAAAATAACTAAAGGCAAAAAGGTGTAGAGGCGTGGTTCAAGTGGTAGAGCGTCTACCTAGCAAGTTCTAGGCCCTGAGTCAAACCCTAGAATTGTCCCCACCAAAAAAACGATGCAGGTTACTAGAAGAAACTATTACTGTTATTATCGTCATCGTCATTATTTTGTTGTTGGTTCTGGGCTTGAACTCAGTGCCTTGCACTTGCGAGGCAGGCAGACAGTTGATTTTTTTTTTTTAAATAACATTAACATGAGTAAAGACTTTATAAGCCAGTTATCTAAAAGATTAATAAATCTGAGAGCATAAATAGAAGATATTTGTATTTGGTAATAACTACATAAAGACAAATAAAAATTGTAAGATTATTTGTAACTCATAAGATAAAAAAGGTGCCATGTGCTGATGGGTCACACCTGTAATCCAAGCTACTCAGGAGGCAGAGATCAGGAGGAGCACATTTCAAAGTCAGCCCATGCAATTAGTTCAAGAGACCCTATCTCAAAAAAACCCATCACAATAAAAGTGAAGGGGGGGGGTTGGTGGTGTGGCTCAAGATGTAGACCCTGAGTTCAAACCCCAGTACCACCAAAAAAAAAAAGCTAACTCCTCCAGTATAAAAAGTTCTCTTACAAATCTTAAGAAAGAGTCTCCTCCGCTTGCCCCTCAAGAGAAGAAAGAGGACTGGTAGAATGGCTCAAGCAGTAGGAGCACCTGCCTAGCAAGTGGGAGGCCCTGAGTTCAAGCCCCAGTACTGCCAAAAAGAAGAAAGAAAAATGAGTAAAGGGTTAACAAGCAATTCCTTGAGAAAAAACATAGTAGTGACCAAATGAAACAATGTTAACTTTACTCACAATTAAGAAAAACAAAGTAAAATAATAGTAGAGCATTTCTTTCATTTACCAGATTGGCAAAAATTCTTAAACTTTTTTGAAGAGCCATTTGACAATATCTGTAAAATTAAAATCCTAAATATATATGCCATGGATATATTCATAGGAACATGTATATATACATACATATTCTTATAGCATTAAGTAAATGATATCTTATTGTTTATTAGAAAGAATACAGCCTAAAGAGAGAATATGGTCCATAGTGTGATTCCATTTGTATTTTCAAAAATGTGTTTGTGTATGCATGTGTATATAAACAGTAGCTCTGTGTACTTAGGAAATAACTGAACAATTCATATCAAAATGTATTTTTTTACTTTTTAGATACTGAAATAAATTATAATTAATCCAAACTTTCTATTTAAATTTTGTTAGTATAGTACAACCTTTGAATTAGTTTACTGTTAAGTTGGCTTTGAGAAAGAAAAATCTTACCATTACCGTATATATATAAATAGACTTTCAAGTGTTTTTAACATAATCATGCATATAGTTTTTAAATACATTTATATATCCACCCTGCTCCTTAAAATTCCATGCCTTCAAATTTTATTAATTGAACAGGAAGCTGGGTGCTGGAGGCTAACCCTGTAATCCAAGCTTCTTGAGAGGCTGTGATCAGAAGAATTGTTGTTCAAGGCCAGAGTGGGCAAATAGTTCATAAAACCCTCATCTCCAAATAACCAGAGCAAAATAGACTGGCTCAAGTGATAGAGAACCTGCTTTGCAAGTGTGAAGCCCTGAGTTCAAACCCTAGTCTCACCAAAAAAAGGGGGGTGGATTAAACATGAAGTTCTCCCAAATGCTTGTTTTTTAAGTAAGGTATAGGATACAATTATTGAATTTGAAACTTAGTGGTTGCTTCCTTCATTTGAATACTGCCTTTAGAAGAAACATAAAAGTATAGCATAGTACTAGTGGCATACCAGTCATTGCATATATTTTATTATGTTGTCTAGAAAAATATAGTATTCAGAATTTTTTTTACTTATCCAGAAAAATATAAACAGATTTGCCACTAATTTAAATTTCACTTGTGTGGTTGCTGCTATTGGGACTGGGGACAGAGTATAAACAATTGATTAGTGGTACTGGGAAGCATGATTTAGTTCTAATCCTGCTATAGGCTATGAGAAAAGAAATAATTTCTTAATTCTGTTTCTCCAGACACATCTTCCAGAGCTAGACACACTTTCATCAGAAAGAGCAAGATCCTTTATAACCTGGCTTAGAGACAGCAGACCATTAAGCCCAGTTCTTCACGTGGTAAAGTAAGTACTTCTGTGACTTCATTATGCAATTGTCTTTTCTTGTACAAACTGTGTGTCATTGCTAGTCATCAAAGCAGACATTAAATAATGCAAACATAGTATAATGCATGTATACATGGAAGTGTCACAATGAAACTCCCTATATAGCCATCATAAACAAATAAAAAATGTCTTTAAAAAAAAAAAAAAAGGACAGTAAAATAAGTTCTGTCCAGGGGTTGGTACCAGTGTGTGGGGGCATAAGGAAAGGGTAGAGGAGGACAAATATGGTAGAAGTACTATGTATTCATGTATGAAAATGGAACAATGACACCTTTTGAAACTTCTAAGAGGAGGGAGAGGAGGGATAAAGAGAATGATGAGGGGGTGAGTATAACTTAAGATGCATTATAAACATTTTTGTAACTATTACCATGTATCACCCCCAGTACAACTATAATATGCTAATAAATTAATTTAAAAAATATATTCTAGAGTAGAATGTTATTACTTGGCTCATAATCCCTGTGCTTTATTTTCCTAAATAATGTATGTATTCCTGAATAATACATTAAATAATAATGTAATAGTTAATGTAATATTTTACATTAAATCATGTGTTCCTAAATATGTATTACTAGTTATTCTTCACAATACATATCTCTAGACAAATGCCTTTATCTCTCTTTCAGAGATGAGAGTCCTGCCAAAGCAGAATTTTTTCAGCATTTAATTGAAGACCGGACAGAAGCTGCATTCTCTTACTATGAATTTTTGCTTCATGTTCAGCAGCAAATTTGTAAATGAAGTAGACTAAAATTTAATAAGAAGAAAAAGATGCATAACCTAGGTAAAGCATATTTCAGAGAAGCACATAGGATATTTGATGTGGAGGCATTTGCTGTTATAAGACACAATGCACAGCACTCTAAAGTTTTGGGAGAAGGTAGAGGGAAAGAAAGAAAGTGACAGATTTTCTTCAGCCTTCTTTAATGGCAATGATGATTCTGTTTCACCAAGTGTATTTGAGTTGGTTTCTACATATTTCCAGTAGTGGAGCAATACAGTGTTCTCTTCATTGCAGGCCAGCAAATTTATGTAGCTGTGTGGAATGACATGTCATAATGTAAAATTAGATAATTTTTTTTCTTAATATAAAATTTCTGGACTTAAACTCTGACAAGAGATGCCAAAAGGCAGTGGTACTGTGCTATTTGTTTATGTGAATTACTTTTTAGCAAGGAATGATTCATATTCATTCAATGAATTCATTTTCCCTGTAAAGAAAATACTGTTTCAGTACATGAACTATAGAGAATATATATATAATGTACATAAGTGTTACATTTGTAAAGAAAATGTAAAAATGTAACTACAATATATGAATTGCTTAAACTGTGCTATACTCTTGGATGACAACTCTTTTTTTGTCACACTTAGAGAATGAGGTTGACAAATACATATTATGAATTGAGTCCACAAAAGAAACATAAAACTCTTTGTACTTCTGTTAAATCTTTTATGTGGATTTATTTATGATCAGCCTACTAATTAAAGTATTTTGCTTGACAGTTGGTTTGGTGATTTTTTTGTTGTTTTTGGGGAGTTGGTGGTATTTTTTTTTAAATACAGGCTATTTTGAATTTACTTCTTGGGGGAAATACAATGATACTGCATTTCAATTAGGAATATATGTGATCAATAAATTTTCATTAGTTTTGTGTACATTATCAGATACTCTGTTTCTAGTCTATAAACAAATGATAGTATTTTCAAAATACATTTAAGTACTAAGTATAATCTTAAATTGTCTTTCTCTTAAATTAAGCATTTTTTCTGTATACTCGTAATGTGGACATTTTGTTAATATATGTGACTGTCCTTTTTAATTAACTTTAAGATTAACATCTTGAACTTTGAGAATGACTTTATTCTGATCAAAAGTCTCACAAACAACTTGTTATAAAATCTGTTAATGATCCTTTAAATTCTGGAGTGAAATTTTATTTTTTGCACACTGAAAATCCCTGTTGAACTTCAGAAGAAGAAAGGCTGTTGGTGGGTGGTGGTTTTTACTGGTTTTGCACTTTGGAATCTCTTTTCTTTAGATAAAAATAAAAGAACTCTCTCACATTCCTTGATGGAAATGAGAGGTTAAATGACTCACCCTAAATGACATTATTACCAATTAGTGACAGAGCTGACAATAAAAGCCAAATTTTCTCCCTACCTACCACCTACTCCCATCCCTGCCCTCTACCCCCAGGACTATATTTGTCACTGTGCCACACTCTCTCCAGCAAGGGAGAATCGTATTGAATACCAGGAAAAGCTGCAGCACTCTAAGCAACTAAATATTGCCATTTTACAACAAAAATTGTTTACTTTGGCATTCATACAATAATAATTTATAATAGTTAGTACTTTTCAAATATTGTTCCAGTCACAAAACAAAACCCCTGCATCCACGAAGCTTACACTCTCAAGTGAGAAAGTGGAATACTGAAAAGGGAAGAAAACTGTATAATTTGTCAAGTGTGATGAATGCTGTGAAGAAAAATAAAGCTGGGTAAGGGACTAAGTGTGCTGTTTTTGGGTAGTAACAGGGAAAGTACTCGTAAAAAGGTGAAGAAGTCTGAATGCATACCTCAAGCCCCTTGAGCTTTGAACTTTGTGGTAGGTGAATGTGAAGTTGCCTTCAGATTGCTCGTTTTCTCTGTGAAAGATGCTGCAGGGCTGGTGGAGTGGCTCAAGTGGTAGAGCGCCTGCCTAGCAAGTGTGAGGCCCTGAGTTCAAACCCTAGTACCTCAAAAAATAAATAAATAAAAAGATGCTACAGACCAGCAGCAGAGAAATGGGAAAGAGTGATAAGTTTCATGAATTAGTCTCCTGGAAGAGTGAGATGCTGAATTGATTAGTGTTGTGTAGCAGAGTTGCTAGGCACACTATGGGCCCATCTTGGGGGATGAGCCACGAACTTAAAGTGAAACCAGTTAGCAACTGTCTCTTCCATCAGCTATATTCAGCGCTTGGTGGAAAGTTGGGTTTAATCAGGGTTGGGACAAGAAATAGAGAAGCAAAGGAATTGAGAAATTATACAAGGAAGTGACTCATTTAAGCTAACGGAACACAAAATGAGTAGTAGAGAAAAGGTGGTGGGGCTGAGTAATTTGGAGGTTCTGTTGATGTCAAAGAGCTGTTAGAGTAGGGATACAAGAAGGAATGACCTGGAAAGATGAGGAGTAATGGTCGGGGTATCCGGTGCTCATAATTGAGGTTTGGGGAGAGTTCAGTATCGGTAATGACAAGACTTGGAGTCTGTGGGGTGGGTGGTTGAAATGCTGAGAAAGATAGCTACAGGGCAGGAGGTCAGAATGTGGTGCCTATGGTTTAAAGTTGAATTCTTTATTTAATTATTGTCCCCAAAGAGACCAGAGTAGTGGTAGAAACATGGGGATGGTAAACAACTGCAAGTGGCAGGGTATGTATGATGTGGCTGGAAGGCATGACTTTAGAGAACCTGGGGTCAGTAAGGAGACAGAATAATGTAGATTCCTACCAATGAGGATGAGCGGGGTGCCTTCCTGGGATTTGGAATCAAAACCAGTCTTTTTCCCGACAGTTCAATCAGAGGGTGTGAAGACTAACATAAATTCCCAAGATACAGACATGATGAGATTAATTCTGATCAAAGGTAGATCAGCTATTCTCATTGCCTCCCATGGGACAAGTCTCTGGCTGTTTGGTTTGTGAGGCTGAGTGCTGCTGAGTAAGCAAAAAGCATGCTTGCCAGAAACCTCTTTCAATTAGTTGAAGCTGTCATTAAAGACTGATTCTTAGTGTTGGTGTTGAGCATGGAAGCAGACTTTCTTATCCCAGGAGGGACTTTTTGGTAAATGTATCCATCCCTCTCCATATCTAATACCAATTGGGTAGGGTTTGACTAAGAGATACATACTGTATTTTAGAAGAATCTATATCTTAATGAATAAATGTGTGTTATCAAATAAAATACTATTTGATAGCTATTTGTAGATACAACTCTGTTGCAATTAACTTGTGAGGCCAGGAAGTGCACTGATTAGGAAAGTGTTATGCTAATGAAACATGGAGCCCTTCTTTCAAAATACCTTCCCACTAAAAACTTTTTTTTCTTTTTATTGCTAGCATATAATAGTTGAACAGGGGGATACATTGTTATATTTATATATGCACTTACAATTGATCTTAGATTTATCCCCTCCATCATTTCCCTTCTTTCCCCTCCCCCCAGAACAATTTCAACAGATTTCATTCTTCTATTTTCATATATGAATACAAAATATATCTGTCATATTAACCCTTTCCATAAATTACGCCCTCCTCCCTCTTACTGGTACCTACTCCCAGAAAGTAGGAAGTAGGTAGATCTTGAAGTCACCAGGGAATAAGCCTTCTCCCATATTTCTGGGGGTTTCCCCCCATTTTTATTAGGATATATTCATTGTATGGGGGGGTGGGGGGGTGGGGGGGATTCATTGTGACAATTCCAAATAGCCTTACATTGTACATGGGTTAGATCGCCCCCACCATCTTACCTCCACAAATCCTCACCCCACTTAACAGCAATTCTAAGAGGTTTCGTTGTTCTGTCAACCATATTCCCTCACTTCTTCATTCACCCTCAAAACCACCACCCCCACACACCCACACACACTGTACCTATTTTGAGGGGATAGGAGCATAGTGATATGAGGGGTTGAACTCAGGGCTTGCCAGGCAGATGTTAAACCACTTGAGCCACACTACTAGCCAAATTTGCTTTGGCTATTTTTGTGCTAGGATCTTGCTTTATCCCTGGTAGGCTTGGACTTCTGTTTTCCTATTTGTGCTTCCCTGTATAGCTGGCATGACAGATGCACTCCATCATACCCAGCCATTGGTTGAAATGGGGTCTTGCTAACATTTTGCCCAAGCTGGTCTCAAACTGCGATCCTCCCAAGTAGCTAGGATTACAGGCTTGGACCACCATGTCCAGCCATAAAATACTATTGAAGACATAGAAAAGGATGAAAACACAAGAAAGTTGAAAATAACACTGTGGACACATAACCTGCTTCTGGCCATGTGACTCAATTCTGTTAGCAAGAGGTCTATCATCAGATGTTGGCCTTATTCCTTGACCAGCACTGTAAGCCAAAGCAAATCTCGTTTTATAACTTGCCTAGTGTTCTTTCTTTCTTTGGGTTTTGTTTTCAAGATAAGAATTTCACTATGTAGGCCACACTTACCCCAAACTCATCACCAAAGCTGTTCATTTTAATGATGTCCACTGTGTTAATTATTTCTTTTGTGGATTGTGTCTTTAATCTTGTGTTTAAAAAGTTACTAAGATCACCTAGATTTTTCTCCTAGGTTATCTCTAGGAGTTTTATGGTCCCAGCAGATTTTAATTAGGAAATTATTTTAAGTAATTATTCAATGAAAGAAATCAAGGATGAAATACCTTACTGTATTTTGTAAAATGCATTTTATGTTAATTTTCTTGGAAAATTCTACAACAGAAATATAAACAAATATACATTTTCATATGTTACCTTGTAAAAAAAATTACTTAAATGTTCACAAACTCTAGAAACTTTTGTCAGTGATACTCAACAAGTCTGAAAAGCTGAAAAATGATAAAGGCAAAATATAACACATGCTATAATTTGGCTTTTACGAAACTTTGTTATGAATACATGGAATAATTTTGTATAGATCAAAGTTACTTTAAGAGCAAAATTATGTTGCTTACTTACTCTAGTTTTTGACCATTACATTGTAAAGACTGAAGTTTCCTTGTATTTTGTCCCTTCATTATAATGTAGCTGTTTTGGCATGGATTAAAATTCCCTTTCAGAAATGCTTCCTGAAATAGCTAGTTATATTAAATAAAAATAGTTACTCTTCTTTAAAGCAATAAAAAGTTGTTTGTTAAACATGTAGCTACATG